TTTTGAAGATTGTGTATGTTAAATGGTCATTAAAAATATTGGTACATTGCAACACATTATTAACAAAAGTTGGGAGCACACACAGCAGAATTTCAACCCTGTCCTACTTCTTGTTTCTGTGGCCTAGATGTCTGTCCTATCTCTATTCTGCTAGTTTCTCCGTATGTCTAACTTTTCTGCAAGAGCCTCCACTGAGTAGCCAACAGCATAACGTGGTAAAAAGAATGAATTCTGGAGGTCTTGGCCCTAGACTTGAATTCTGGCTTCTCCACAGACTTGGGTAGATGGAAATGGGCAAATTATGCTTTCTGCCTCAGTTTCCCCTTCTGCAAAGCATGGACAATAATCATTGTTATAAACAGTTATGTTATAAGGATCAACCAAGTTAACACACTCGTCAAACCATCATCTGTTTTCATGTCCCTGATAACAGTTGCAGGTGACAGAGCCACAGAAATGTTGCTCTGACCCCCTGTTCCGTGCTCTCAAATAATGTCTAGTTCTTGGCTCTCTGTGGTAGCCCGGGGGATAGCAGCGGGGGTGCTTATCCTTGTTTATCTGAATGCCCTACAACTCCTTGGTTAAAGAGACTTCCAGGGCAGGGAGGGGGGATCTTCCCATGGCCATGCTCACCTGTGAGTCCCAGCAGTAAAGCCAGCAGCAGGCAAGGAGACTGGTGGGTCCAGGAGGCAGGGGCAGGCATCCTGGAACTGGAGGAGCCTGCTCTGTCCGGGTGTGTGCTGGGAGCCCAGACTCTGCTCTGTGGAGAGGAGCCTGGGGTTTGATACAAGAGGAAGCTCATACCAGTGGTGAAATGACGAGGTGTTGACGCACTTCCATTGTGAAGCTGGGATGGAGGGAAGCTTAAGGTCAGGAGCTTCTCATATGTTTTCAGAGACTTGTGCAGCCTCGTAGAAATAGTGCTTCTTCCGTCGGGGTAGCCTTGTCTCTCCTTGCTACTTGCTTGCTACTCCCTCTTAGGGTCACAGTGATTCTCCATTCAGTAGCCCCAGGAAAAGAGAATCCCATAGGGATATAAGGTGTGTCTCACAGGCCCATGCCCAAGGCTCTAGGGTGACTGGCTGGTGGCCATTCTTGCCCCTCCACCAAAGTAACAGTCCAAGCACAGTCCAAGAGACTGCTGAGGATTACTATGGTGAGAACTAAGAAAGGTGTTTAAAAGACATTTGCCTGCAGTGGTCTGTAACTGAGCATCAGAACACGGAGATGTCATCACTACAGGTGACCAGCACGAGCTGTCCTGGGAGAGACTGGACTGGCCAAGGCAGACCAGCTAAAGTTCATGAGTTTCAAGTGTTTGTATCTCACTGAAGCTTAGGTGAGGATTTCCTTGCAGGAGTAGAATTACCCTTGAGTCCCTTTGTTACCCGGCCAGGAGTGGGGACCCCAGAGCCCCCAATCCTGCCTGCTCCAAATAGGTTCTGCCATCCACCATAGCAACACAAAACATGTAAGACTTTAATGGGAAGGAACTTTAATACAATTAGCAAACTATACAGGAAAGGCAAAGAATATAGTTTCTAAATCAAGCACCCAAAATTACTCATCCCCTCATGGGTAAAAATCCACCCAAATGGTATTGGTCCAGAGCAACGCCCAAAAGCCTGCCACAAGTCCAAAGCTCCTTCCAGTGGGGCCCCACAGTAAAGGATCAGAAACAACCAGACAAGTCTGGGAGGAAAAGTGCAAAATCAAAACCAATATAAAATTTGCCATTGTTTGCCGTGGACCAGCACAGCAATGGACGATGAGGCCGTCTCAGGGTTGAGAGATTGCGCGGGGTGGTCAGGGATTGGGCGAATAAATGACACACAGACACACTTCAAGAGAGTGAAAATCTGAGTGTGATTTTCTCTGAGTTTGTGACCAGTATATATATATTTTCTAAAAGCATAGGAACAGTGAACATCAGTGAACGAAGTCAGCTTGCTCATAGGTTTGGCTTATCATTGACAGGGCAGTGATCTATGTCCGAAATATATCTGGACCTAGCCGCATTCCTAAGTAGACAGGCTATTAACTCTTTCTTTTGTTCTATGTAATTATATTCTTGTTGCACTAACTACTACTATTACCTACTCATTTTTACTCATAATTAATTGTCATGGGTGAATTTATTTTATAATGCAGTTAAGATCAAGGGTACTAAAGTTAAGCACATAATAGAAAGATTATTAAACCAACAATTCTATTATTACACAGTGATTAGTAATGTTTCATTTGAATTAGCCTAATTATTAAATTACGTATATTTATTAATTAGCAACCAATGACCAGAAAAAGGAAAGATTTTAGAGAGACAGTTGTAGAAGAATAAAGTTTGTGGGCCTTGAGAAAGTGAGATAAGGTTCCAGGTGGTCAGCATTTCTTTTAATCATCTTTGTGGCAGCTTCTGGTGGTCGTTATCTCTTGGCAGGCATTCGGCTTCTCTGCATCTTAGGGAGTTTGCTGTTCTCCCCCTGCGCGCATGGTTCCTTGCCCACGCCGGACCTCAGGGACCATGGCAACAGCCATTAGCCTTGCAGGTCACTGCAAGGGGAGGTGCAGCAATTGTTATCCTCCATGGGTCTCTCCCCCACATCTTTTTCAACCAACCCTCCATGTTGGTAAAAATTGATTTTTGATCATTAAGTTAATGTTACAAAGTTACCCCCAAAGAAAACATACTAATAGTACTAGCAGGTGTCCTGTGCTCTTGCTGAATATAAGACCGATGCTCTGCACATAATTACAATCCTATACCATAGTCAAGAGTCATTGTAAACAGTAATAATACTTTTCTTGTCCACAGACTGGAAATTGTTAAAGATAGCTCTAACTAGAGGCTCATCAAATTATTATGGGAAAACTCTAAAATTATGACTAGAAAGTCATAAAAGCAAAACTAAAACAGATGCATACCATGAATGGGAAAATAGAGCACGTGATTCTAAGATCACTTGGACCTAAACAGTCATGACGTTTTATCTATCTATCTATCTATCTATCTATCTATCTATCTATCTATCTATCTATCTATCTATTTATACAAGCACTGGGTACAGTCAGAAGCGCGGGAGGGCAAGAGAATTCACCAGAGCCAGAGCGAGGAGCAGAACAGGCAAACTGATGAAGTACATTGGTGAGGGGAGCAGCAGGTGTGGCAGGAGAGGTCTGCGTGCCAGCGCTCAACCACTGCACCACCAGGGAGGCCCCATGATGTTTTAAATAAGAAAAAGTGGGAAACTTTGCTCAAAATGGTGTCAAAACTTATTACATGGATTTATTCTTGTCCATGTAGCTTTGACTAAGAGATGAGAAGCTCAATGGAAAAAGATCTCATAAAAAGAACCACACAAGTATATGGAAACTTGATATAAAGTGAAGGGGGCTGTGAAGTTCAGTGAGTGCTTTGTAATAAATTATAACATGACTATTACTTATACATACACACACACACACAGCAGATGAGTGTAACTATCAAAAGCATGAATTAAAAAAGCAACATTTGATCAGAAAGTGAAAACTCTTCTGCACAACAAGGCCCCCAAATGACACAACATGCAGCTCTGCAGGCCACACTAGAAGGGCGAGGGTTGCTGTCCTGGATGGGGGGAGGACACCAAGATAAGAATCTTATTGAGAAATTGTACTTCAAAGCACCCGGTAAAGTTTCAACATCCAGTATGAGAAGAATTAATAAAGTGTGGCATATTCTTCAATAGAAGACTACAGAATAGTGGAAAAATCAGTCAATGGAGCTACATATATCAAGATGAATAAATCCCACAAACTGTGTTAAGCAATAAACTATAGGAGAACTTCCCGAGTGCTGTAAACTGGATAATCACATTTATAAAATATTTAGAATATGCAACGTGAAATAAAATATTGCTTAAGTATGTGTATTTATGTTGTAAAATCACAATCATTTCTGAGGATATGACACACCAAATTCAGGGTAGTGTTTCTTCAAAGGGTCAAAAGAACACGATATTAGTATTTTGCAAAGATAGAAGAGAAACTCCATGAATAATTATAGAGAAATCCTTACATATTTCAGAATACAATAATGCGTATTCAACCTGTGATCTCAGCACATATGTATTAAAACACCTTGAGAGTTCAGTCAAGATAGGCTGTGTGCTTGCAGGAATATATCTCTTTCATCTTGGTTGTCCAGTCTGTGGCATGTGAAGCGGATATGTGTAGGCACAGTCTCCATGTGCCTCTGTGTTTCTGTGGTTCCTGTTGTAATTTCTCCTCTTCCATTTATATGGTAGTTACTTGAGTCCTCTCCCTATTTCTTGTTGAGTCTAGTTAATGGTTTTTATTATTATATTTATCTTTCAAAAAACAGACTTTTCACTGATTTTTAAAAATGTCTCTGGAATCCCCATTTCAGTATTTCTGCTTGATGCCTGTCAGCCCCTCCCTCTGCTCACGTGGGGCTCACTTCGTGTGAGAGTCCACTCTCGTGTGAGTGAGGATGTTACATGGAGTCTTTCTTTTCTCTGAATGTTCACCTTTAGCCAGATGGCTTCTTTTTACGAATGCATTGGATGCGTCCTCAGTCACGGGTGGATCAGCTACACAGAGGGCCCCTGTTGAACCTGCTCCTAGTTGAAATGTCACTTCAGGAATTCTCAACTTACTTGAAATTATCACACCTCAGTTATACAATGTCCTTAACGGGCTACACGGGATGAGATAAAGGCATGCTTGTTATTGAGTCAAAGCCAATTGCACTGTGGTTTTCTCATTAGAGCAAATTGCATGATCTGCCCTAGTTTCTGTTTTCTTCCCTGGCTTGTGGCCGATGATGGTGGAACCAGCTCTGATGCAGTGACTGGCATCATCTCTTTCTGGTTCTTACTCCCAGCAGCCCCTTGTTCCCATCCGACTGCATTTTGGCCATGTGATGAGAACCGAAACCTGCTGACTGGGAATTCTGCAGGTGTGCATTCCTGAGAGGCCCCTGGATGAAGCCAGCTCTGGGGTCAGCCTGTGAGAATGGACAGCCAGGTGGGGCAGCAGGTCTCTGGGGGAGTGGCCTGGGGAGCAGAATCTGTGGAGGCTCTTGTCCCTCCTCCTCTAGGCGGGTCCTTCAGGAAGGGAGGAGGCTGCAGAGCTGGAGGTGCAGGCAGCAGGGAGGAGGCAGAAAGCTGCGGGAGACATGTCCACATTGAATACCTGCTTGTGCTCAGGACGCACTCCCTGTGTGTCTCTCATGGCTCTGGTGCTAGTCTCTTGGGCAGTCCCCGAGATAGGCCTCTGCACCCCAGCCTTCGCTATCGCCCTTGCGCTGACACCTCAGCCCTTCTGTGCCTCACACAGAGCCTCAGAAACACCTCAGAGTAGCAAATCTGGGACTGCTCAACACTCCTCTCATTGTGGATTCCTTTCCACCCATGGAGCCCCCATGTTCAAATGATCTAGAGATGGTCTCCAAGGGAGCCCTAACTCAGGCCCTCCATTCAGGCCCTTGCCTGTGTCTTCCACACCACCCAGGCCTCCCCAGTCACTCTGGAACACCCTCTGCAGGTCCCCAAACACTTTCTGGATGCTGGGATGTTTAGAGGACCCTAAGCCTCCTGAGGGTGAGGGAGGTGTGTCAGCTTCTCTTATTTTCCGGGGGCCCTGACCATGTGTGATCTGCTGAACTTGCCCCTCCCAGGACAGACCTTGGCCTGCCCTCTTTGCCCAGTACTTACAGTTAGGCCTCTGCTTCCTGTGCATGTAGGAGGCAGAGACACCCACCAGTAGCAACACCTTGGAGCCCAGGAGGAGAGTGATGAGGAATGGCATCCACTGCTCTTTGCCTGGAAGTCAAGGGACATGAGGCGCCATTAGGGGCCACACTGGAATCCTTCCCTGGGCCTCCACTACCCACTGGGCTTCCCTGGTCCATCAATTGTCCGAGCTTTAAACCTGCTTCCTTCCTGGGATTAAGGCAGATGGTAAGAGCAGGACCAGAATGGGAGCATCAACTCCTGCCCCAACTTTCTCTCTTTAATGCTTATGTCCATGACCTGCAATGCTTCATTCTACACCCTTGACCTCTGGACACTCAGGGTGGAGGAAATGTGATGACGCAGCTCCTTTAAATTCTGTTCATAGCTAACATTCTAGATTATCAATAAAACATGAATTGTAACCTGTAACATTAAAAAAATAAGATAAAATATAAAAGGTTGGGTCATTGGAGCTGAGGCCTTACCTGAAGATACCTCTGTGTCTGGCTTGTCCTGGTGAGCAGAGGCCGCCAGGGTGAGGGCTTTGGAGACCGCAGGCTGCCCGTCATGCTCCACCTGGCAGGTGAGCACCACATTCCCTCTGTGGGCAGAAGCGTTTACCAGGAGCCAGCTCGTGCAGGTGAAGGTCCCATCCTTGTTCTCCAGGAGAGTTGAGTGCTTTTCTGTTCGGGACACGTTTCCGTTCTCCAACCAGGTCAGCTGTAGGTTCCGGGGGTAGAACTCCTTCACCTGGCAGGTGACAATCACCTGGTTCCCTGCCGCGGGATACTGGGAAACCTCCAAGGTGGGCGGGACTGTAACAGCACAGGGCAGAAGCTCTGACCTTATGGCACAGATCCCAGGTAAGTGCCCCATCACTTGCCCCCACCGTAGCATGGAGGTCAGTCGGGACATGCTGGGCAGGCAGGCGGCCTCCAACACTGAGGCTCTCTCTGCAAGTGCGTGTGATCACTAAGCACAGTGCCCAGCACACAGTTGGTGCTTAAGGACTGGAGGGCAATAGGAAGGATCAACAGGCCCCGCCCCTGCAGGCAGCAGTGGGATCACAATCACTGTGGCAAATCAATACCTACCCCAAGCACCTCAGGCAGGGCTGTAGGGGGCGCCCAGTGTTGGGGTGGCTGTGGGTAAAGTTTGGGAAACTGCCTCCTCACTGCTGGGCATGTGGGAGGTGCTGCCCAAGCAGTTGCTGTGGAGACTGGGGCAGTGGCCCGCACACGCAGGGCTGGTGATGGCCAGGGACAGTGGAACTGGACTCCGGGACATCTGCGCCTGGAGCGAGGAGGGTGGAGCAGGCTGAGTATCGGGTAGGGTTGGGTGGGCAGGTTCACACCTTGGATGGTCTCAGACAAGTTGGCTGTCCCGCGAAGACTGCCGCCCTGCAGGGTGACGTGGGACACCTCACAGATGACCTGGGAGCGGACGTCCCCCGACGCCAGCTGCACCGTGGCTGTGCTGGAGACGTTGTAGGAAACGGCCTCTCCTGAAGGGTCCACGTTGGACCGGGGGGCTGGCAGCTCTTTCCTATTTTTGAACCACTTCAGGCTGATGTCTCTGGGGGAGAAGCCGTGGGACTGGCAGGTGAAGGTCACCGTCTGCCCAGGGGTGGCCCCCTCTGCGGGTCCCGATACCACAGGGCGAGAGGGTTTGGCTGCGAAGGAGCATTTGTAACAATAAGCGTGACTGTGACTCCACCAAGGATAAGCAGATGACGCTGTTTATAACTTCACCTGATTATTGTTTCGTCTCTAGTAGTGCTGGGGTGTCATCACCCTCATTTAGGGACACCCAGGCTCCCAGAGGAAAACCAGGATCGGGGCAGGGTGACAAGGTTGCGGGGGATTTCCAGAGTCTGGGCTCAGGAACTACATGACCTCAGTGTCTATAGCTGTTCCTGGCCTGTCACCCCGGAAGACCTTCCAAGGTCAGAGAAGCATTCACAAAAGGAATGCAGGACATGGGGGCCCCGTGGAGGCTGGCACCTGCCTGCCAGCACCGGAGAGGGTCCAGGCACCTCCCTTCCTCATCTGTGAAATGGGGGGCAGGCTCTCTCTCTGGGGTGCATGAGGAAAGCAGGCTGCTGAGGGAGTTTCAGAAGATAAACTCAGATGAGTAATAAGCACAAGTCTGGTCTCCCAGCTCTCCCCACCGGCGGGGAGGGATTTACTCCAAACTTTCCATTCTTTAAGCAATTTCTCAAGTAGGTCTCATCTGTGCCCAGCTCTGATTTTGAAGGGAGGGGTCAGAGGGCTGTGAATTGAGGTTCTCCTTCTACTTGGGGTCAGTTTTGGGTTGGAAACAAGGATCCGTGAGCCTGAGGGAGCCAAGGTGGGCGTCTCTCCGTGGTCAGGGCTAGAAAGAGGAAGAAGCGCCTCCCTCATACTGGGGAGGTGCAGAGCTCAAGTCTCCCCACCCAGGATGGACCTCATGAGTGGCCCCCTTGTGTCTCTGTTCTGCATCCTTGAGCCTCCGTGTGTGTTTCTGTGCAAAGCAGTCAAAGCCCCACCCGGGGCAGAGGAGTGAGGATGTGCCCAGCATGGGCGGGTTCACAGCAGGTGCTGGCAACCAGCTCTTGTGGCTGCTGTCCCAGTCCTGGTCACCACCCATCTTGGGGTGGGGGGGTAGCAGCAGGGCAAACACCCAGGAAAGTGGCAAGTCCTGCTGCTGCTCTGAAGACCTGATTAAGAAAAGCAGCAGAAATGCCTGCTGGCGATTCTCTGCTTCTTCTTGTCACAGGCCCGCTAGAGAGCTGTTTGGGGGAATGACACCAACACACAAATGAGATCCGAGGTGTTGTCATGAAGATTTCTCTTTCTGGAAAGCTGCAGCACTTTAAAAGGAAGGACAGATTTTCTCAGGGACAACTTCGGGGTCAGGCAGAAGGGATCTGGGGATGCCAGCCCCTATTGGCAGCCAACTCAGTTCCCATTTAAATGCCATTCAGAAAATGTTCAACATCACTTGTCATCAGGGAAATGCAAATCAAAACTACCATGAGATACCATCTTACACCAGTGAGAATGGCACATATTAAAAAAACTAGCAACAACAAATGTTGGCGAGGGTGTGGAGAAAAAGGAACTCTTCTGCACTGTTGGTGGGAGTGCAAACTGGTCCAACCACTGTGGAGAGCTGTGTGGAGATTTCTGGACCTACTAAACATAGAGCTTCCATAGGATCCAGCAATTCCACTCCTAGGTATTTACCCAAAGGACACAGAAACATCAATTCCAAAGAACACCTGCACCCCTATGTTTATAGCAGCACTGTTTACAATAGCTAAGCTTTGGAAACAACCCAAATGCCCAAAAATAGATGACTGGATCAAGAAGATGTGGTACATATATACCATGGAATATTACTCAGCATTCAAAAAAGATAAACACATGCAATTTGCAGCAACATGGATGGCGCTGGAAGGGATCATGCTCAGCGAAATAAGCCAGAAAGAAAAAGAAAAATACCGGATGGTCTCACTCATAGCAGGAATCTAGAAAACTTAAATAAGGGACCAGGAAAATGAATAACTATAAGAAAGTGAAAATCAAAATCAACAAAAAATTATGAACCAGAGACACTTTTAGGGGGCGGGGGCGGGAGGGAGGGATTGGGGTCAGAATGGGGGGGGGAAGCAATTGTATGGGGAATATAAAAATAAAATTTATTATTTAAAAAAAAATAATTACTCATACCTCCATGGGAAAAAGTCCATCCAAATGGGATTGGCCCAAAGCAAGGTCCAAAAGCCTGCCACAAGCTAAAGCACCTTCCAGTGGGGACCCACAGAAAAGGATCAGAAACAACCAGACAAGTCTGGGAGGAAAAGAGCAAAATCAAAACCAATATAAAAGTTGCCATTGTTATCCTCCACGGGTCTCTCACCTACCTCTGTTTCAACCAGTCCATAACCAAAAGGCAAGCACAGTTTTTCCCACGTCTCTCTCTATGTGCCTCGACCAGGTCTCCTGTCTCTCCATCCTGTTTCATTCCTTCTTCCATCCCTTCTCCAGCTTCTTCTTTTCTTTTGCCCCACCCTCCTTTGGGTGGGGCAGGAAACCTGGAACCTCCCCCTTTCCTGGGGATCACCCTGTTACACCTTGACACAAGTTCAAAAACCTCACACTGTGTATAATGTAAACATTTGGGGGGGCTATTTTTTTTTTTTACTAGGTCTAGTATGACTCCTTCTGGCAATATACTGAAAAGGGTCATAGAAAATATAACAGGGTGATATCAGGGTGATGAGGATAGAAAGTGTGCACGTGAGAGGTATGAGGTTGGGGTAACAGTGTATATCCATCAGCCCTAGTGGGGCGACAATAAATAATTTCTAAGAGAGAGAAATCAAAACATGGCAATACAAGTATATCCTCTCTGAGATATGACAGTAAAATCTAAAACACTCAGTTAAAGCCTTGAAAAGAGTTACTTCTGGGAGGAGGAAATGGTGGGAGGTTAGGTAAATCCAGCTTACCTATTAGAACTTGTGGAACTACTTGATTTTCAAACCATGTGCATATGTACCTTTGATGTAGGTAAATAATGATTTTCGATCATTAGGTTAATGTTATAATGGTTACCCCCAAAGAAAACATACTAATAATACTAGTAGGTGTTCTGGGTTCTTCCTGAACATAAGATCAATGCTTGAACACAATTATAATCCTATACCACGGTCAAGAATCATTGAAAACAGTAATAATACTTTTTTTTATGTCCACAGACTGGAAATTGTTAAAGCTAGCTCTAACTAGAGACTCATCAAACCATCATGGGACATCTCTAAAATCATGAATTACAAGACATCAAAGCAAAACTAAAATAGATGCATATCATGAATGGGAAAACTCAATCCTGGAAAGATGTCAGTTGACTAAAATATTATGTAAATTCAATGTGATCAAATAATAATTCTAAAAGGGTTTTTCATGAAACTTGACAACGTGATCCTAAGATCACTTGGACCGAAAGAGTCATGACAGTTTTAAATAAGAAAAGGTGGGAAACTTTGCTCAAATTGGTTTCAAAACGTATTACATGGACGTATCTTGTCCATGTAGCTTTGACTAAGAGATGAGCAGCTCAGTGGAAAAAGATCTCATGGGAAGAACCACACAAGTATATGGAAACTTGATATAAAGTGAAGGTGGCTGTGACCATCAGTGAGTCTTTTTTTTTTTTTTAAGATTTATTTATTTATTTATAAAGGCACTGGGTACAGTCAGAAGCACGGGAGAGTGAGCGAATTCACCAGAGCCAGAGCTGGGAACAGAACAGGCAGACTGATGAAATACACTGCTGAGGGGAGCAGCGGGCATCAGGAGAGGTCTGCCCGCCATATGGGACCCTCGCTGGTGGCTGGGGATCAAACCGGCACTGCAGAGGCTGCGGGCAGCTTTGCAGCCCAGTGCTCAACCGCTGGGACACCAGGGGAGGCCCCGATCAGTGTGCCTTGATAATAAATTATAACATGAAAACCACTTGCACACACACACACACACACACACAGAGCGAATCAGTGTAGCTAGATCAAAAGCATGAATTAAAAAAGCAACACTTGATCAGAAAATGAAAACTGTTCTGCACAACAAGGCCCCCAAATGACACAACATGCAGCTTTGCAGGCCACGCTAGAAGGGCGAGGGGTGCTGTCCCGTGTGGGGGATGACACTAAGATAAGAGTCTTATTGGGAAGTTGTACTTCAAAGCACCAGGTAAAGCTTCAATATCCAGAATGAGAAGAATTAATAAAGTGTGGATATTCTTCTATTGAAGACTACAGAATAGTGGAAAAATCAATCACTGGAGCTGCATGTATCAAGATGAATAAATCCCACAAGCTGTGTTAAGCAATAAACTATAGGAGAACATCCCGAGTGCTGTAAACTGGATAATTGCATTTATAAAACATTTAGAATATGCAAAGTAATATTAAATATTGCTTAAGTATGTGTATCTATGTTATAAAAGCACAATCATATCTGAGGATAGGAAACACCAAATTCAGGGTAGTGTTTCTACAAAGGATCAAAAGAACACGATATTGGGGAGCCTCCCTTATGGCTCAAGGGTTGAGCAGCACAATATGATGCAATCTGCAGCCTCTGCTGCACGAGTTCTATTCCCAGCCGGCCAGGGAGCTCCCCACATGGCGCAGCAGACCTCTCCTGTGTCACCTGCTGCTCCCTTCAACAGTGTGTTTCAGCCTGTTCTGTTCCCCACTCTCTCTCTGGTGATTCCTCTCACCCTCCTGTATCTCTAGCCAGCTCTTGCATGCAAATATAAATACATCTTAAAATAAAAAACAAAAGAACATGATATTAGTATTTTGCAAAGATAGACCAGAAACTCCATGAATAATTATAGAGAAATCCTTCCATATTTCAGAATAGAATAATGCGTATTCAACCAGTGATCTCAGGACATATGTATGAAAACTTCTTGATAGTTCAGTCAAGACAGGCTGTGTGCTTGCAGGAATATATCTCTTTCATCTTGGTTGTCCAGTCTGTGTTATGTGAAGCTGATATGTGTAGGCACAGTCTCCATGTGCCTCTGTGTTTCTGTGGTTCCTGTTGTAATTTCTCCTCTTCCATTTATATGGTAGTTACTTGAGTCCTCTCCCTATTTCTTGTTGAGTCTAGGAAGGGAGGAGGCTGCAGAGCTGGAGGCGCAGGCAGCAGGGAGGAGGGAAGAAGCTGCGGGAGACATGTCACATTTAATGACCTGCTCGTGTTCAGGACGCACTCCCTGTGTGTCTCTCATGGCTCTGGAGTTGTTCTCTTGGGCAGTCCCTGAGATAGGCCTCTGCACCCCAGCCTTTGCTCTCGCCCTTGCGCTCACGCCCAGCCGTTCTGGGCATCACGCAGAGCCCCAGAAACACCTAGAGCAGCAAACCTGGGACTGCTCAACACTCCCCTCACTGTGGATTCCTTTCTACCAATGAGGCCCCCATTTTCAAATAATGTAGAGACTGTGTCCAAAGGAGCCCCCCACCCAGGCCCTCCATTCAGGCCCTTGCCTGTATCTTCCACACCACCCAGGCCTCCCCAGTCACTCTGGAACACCCTCTGCAGTTCACCAAACACTTTCTGGATGCTGGGAATGTTTGAGGGACCTAAGCCTCCTGAGGGTGTTGAGGGAGGTGTGTTAGCTTCTCTTATTTCCCGGGGGCCCTGACCACGTGTGACCGGGGGGCTGCCCTCCACCTGACCTTGCCCCTCCCGGGACAGACCTTGGCCTGCCCTCCCTCCCCAGGACTCACAGTCAGGGCCTCTGCTTCCTGTGCATGTAGGAGGCAGAGACACCCACCAGCACCAGCACCTTAGAGCCCAGGAGGAGAGCGATGAGGAGTGGCATGGACTGCTCTTTGCCTGGAAGACAAGGGACAGGAGGCGCTATTAGGGGCCACACTGGAGCCCTTCCCTGGGCCTCCACTACCCACTGGGCTCCGCTGGTCCGTCAATCCTCTGAAGCTTGAACCTGCGTCCTTCTCTAGATTAAGGCAGAAATCAGGGTAAAGAGCTTCCTGAGGTGCCATAGGGAGATGACCGTGCTCTACTGATTATGAATGTGAGGTTCGGGGAGTTGAGGGGGCCCTATAAGAGCAGTGTGACCAAAATAAGGAAAATCCACCACTGTCTGGTAGGATGATGCCAGATTTGCTCTTTGCACAAGAAGACTCAAACCTCAGGGTCTCGTGAGTGACCTACCACATGTGCAAGGAGAGTGCGGGCTGCTCTTAGGGGAGGGAGTCCAGGCCTCCCGCTCCCCAGGGATGGTCTCCATGGTGGAGGGGGCCCTGCAGTGTCTGACCTGTGAGAACAGCTGGCTGGGGAGCACCTGGTGGGTGAGGAAAGGGCCTGATGTTGGGTGGGGCTGTAATTGGGCCCTGGTGGGACCCGAGATGTGGGGTGTGCCCCTTGGGCCAAATCACTGGGGGCCCTTCTGTCCAATGGGGCGGCCAAGGACAGTGCAGAGAGCAGCTGCTTCTCTCCAGAAATGGTCTCTGCAGCCAACAGCTACTCAAAGGGCAAAATTAAACCCCACCCGCCACCTTGTTGCTCCTTGACTCCATTCTCTATAACTCTAAAACCGCAGGGTATTGAAGTGGACATGATGTCACAGGGGAAGGAATCTTGCAGGTTGTGTATTTTAGTGAGTTCTTGTGATGTTTGCTGGCCCATGTCAGCTCCAGACTCACACCCCACAGAGACAGGACAATACTTCAGAGGCGCAGCATCAGCCGGTGATGCTGAATAATGGGGTGTAGAGACCAGCACAGACTGGAGATTCAGTGGATTGTGGGGAGCCAGGAGGGGTGGCTGACCTGGCTATTGCAGCCACTATGGGGGGCAGATGGTAAGAGCAGGACTGAGAGTGGGAGCTTCACCTCCAACCCCCACTTTCTCTTTCATGCTTACGTCCATGACCTGCAATGCTCGGTTCTGAACACTTGACCTGTGGGCACTCAGGGTGTGAAAATTGGGATGAGGCAGCTCCTTTATATTCTTTTCATAGCTGTGCATTCTAGATTATCAATAACACATGAATTGTTACCGGTGGCACTAAAAAAATAAGATAAAATATAAAAGGTTGGGTCAGTTGGAGCTGAGGCCTGACCTGAAGTTACATCTGTGTCCTGCTTGTCCTTGTGAGCTGAGGCCGCCAGGGTGAGGGCTTTGGAGACCGCGGGCTGCCCGTCATGCTCCACCTGGCAGGTGAGCACCATATTCTCCCTGTGGGCAGAAGCGTTCACCAGGAGCCAGCTCGTGCAGGTGAAGGTCCCATCCTTGTTCTCCAGGAGAGTTGAGGGCTTTTCTGTTCGGGACACGTTTCCGTTCTCCAACCAGGTCAGCTGTAGGTTCCGGGGGTAGAACTCCTTCACCTGGCAGGTGACATTCACCTGGTTCCCTGCCGCGGGATACTGGGAAACCTCCAAGGTAGGCGGGACTGTAACAGCACAGGGCAGAAGCTCTGACCTTATGGCATAGATCCCAGGGAAGGGGCCCCATCGCTTGCCCCCCACCGCAGCAGGTGGGTCACCCGGGACATGCTGGGCAGGCAGCCGGCCTCCAACACTGAGGCTCTCTCTGCATGTGTGTGCGACCACTAAGCAGAGTGCCCAGCCGATAATAGATGCGCAAGGACTGGAGGGTAATAGGAGGGAAATCAACAGGCCCCGCCACTGCAGGCAACGGTGGGATCACAATCACTGTGGCAAATAAATGCCATCCCCAAGCACCTTGGGCAGGGCTATAGAGGGTGCCCAGTGATGTGGTGAATGGGTTAAGTTCAAGAAGCTGCTCAGTCACTGCCAGGCATGTGGGAGGTGCTGCCTTGGCAGCTGCTGGGGAGACTGGGGGAGTAACCCGCACATGCAGGGCTGGTGATGGCCAAGGATGGTGGGACTGGACTCTGGGACATCAGCGCCTGGTGCGAGAGGGGAGGAGCAGGCTGTGTCTCGGTCAGGGCTGGGCTGGGGTGTTCATACCTCGGATGGTCTCAGACAAGTTGGCTGTCCCACGAAGACCGCCGCCCTGCAGGGTGACGTGGGCCACCTCGCAGATGACCTGGGAGCGGACGTCCCCCGACGCCATCTGCACCGTGGCTGTGCTGGAGACGTTGTAGGAAACGGCCTCTCCTGGGGGGTCCACGTTGGGCCGGGAGGCTGGCAGTTCTTTCCTATTTTTGAACCACTTCAGGCTGATGTCTCTGGGGGAGAAGCCGTGGGACTGGCAGGTGAAGGTCACCGTCTGCCCAGGGGTGGCCCTCTCTGTGGGTCCCGATACCACAGGGCGAGAGGGTTTGGCTGCGAAGGAGCATTTGTAACAATAAGCGTGACTGTGACTCCCACCAAGGATAAGCGGGTGACGCTGTTTATAACTTCACCTGGTTATTGTTTCGTCTCTAGTAGTGCTGGGGGGTCATCACCCTCATTTAGGGACACCCAGGTTCCCAGAGGTGAACCAGGATCGGGGCAGGGTGATAGGGTTGCGGGGGATTTCCAGAGTCTGGGCTCAGGAACTACATGACCTCAGTGTCTATAGCTGTTCCGGGCCCGTCACCCCGGAAGACCTTCCAAGGTCAGAGAAGCATTCACAGAAGGAATGCGGGACATGGGGGCCCCATGGAGGCTGGCACCTGCCTGCCAGCCCTGGAGAGGGTCCAGGCACCTCCCTTCCTCATCTGTGAAATGGGGACAGGCTCTCTCTCTGGGGTGCATGAGGAAAGCAGGCCACTGAGGCAGTTTCAGAAGATAAACTCAGATGAGTAATAAGCACAAGTCTGGTCTCCCAGCTCTCCCCACGGGCGGGGAGGGATTTACTCCAAACTTTCCATTCTTTAAACCATTTCTCAAGTAGGTCTCATCTTGTGCCCAGCTCTGATTTTGAAGGGAGGGGTCAGAGGGCTGTGAATTGAGGTTCTCCTTCTACTTGGGGTCAGTTTTGGGTTGGAAACAAGGATCCGTGAGCCTGAGGGAGCCAAGGCGGGCGTTTCTCAGTGGTCAGAGCTAGAAAGAGGCAGAAGCGCCTCCCTCATACTGGGGAGGTGCAGAGCCCAAGTCTCCCCACCCAGGAGAGACCTCATGAGGGACCCCCTTGTGTCTCTGTTCTGCATCCTAGAGCCTCCGTGTGTGTTTCTGTGCAAAGTGGTCAAAGCCCCACCTGGGCAGAGGAGTGAGGATGTGCCCAGCATGGGCGGGTTCACAGCAGGTGCTGACAACCAGCTCCTGTGGCTGCTGTCCCCGTCCCGGTCACCACCCATCTTGGGGTGGGGGGGTAGCAGCAGGGCAAACACCCAGGAAAGTGGCAAGTCCTGCTTCTGCTCTGAAGACCTGATTAAGAAAAGCAACAGAAATGCCTGCTGGTGATTCTCTGCTTCTTCTTGTCACAGGCCCGCTAGAGAGCTGTTTGGGGGAATGACACCAACACACAAATGAGATCCGAGGTGTTGTCATGAAGATTTCTCTTTCCGGAAAGCTGCAGCACTTTAAAAGGAAGGAGGACAGATTTTCTCAGGGACATCTTGGGGGTCAGGCAGAAGGGGTCTGGGGATGCCAGCCCCTATTGGCAGCCACCTCATCTCCCATTTAAATGCCATTCAGAAGCAGCACATCTCAGAAAGCTTTTCACATGAACAGTGGAGCCCAGGAGATACTTGTTAGTAGGAAAAAAAAGTATGTTTTCTTCATTCACCTGAACTGTGGAACCAGAAAGTCAGGTTCCAGACCTCACCCCATTTCTAAGCCATGCGACCTTGAGTCTCGACTTTCCTGGTCTGTAGAAGGGGTGAATCAAGCCATGTAGATCAGCACCCGCCACCACGCCTGACTCTTAGCTGTTGCTCACAGAAAGGAGGGCGTGACAGTGACCTGCTGCCACACGCGGGCGGGGGGCCCCCACGGTACTCACCACTCACGGTGACCTGCATGCCTGGTCCCGACTTAAGCTCTGTGTCAGGGCTCCCCTTCTGGAACTTCACACAGTAGTAGACCCCAGTGTCTGCTGGGGTGATGTTACTGATGTGGATGGAAAAGTCCTTGTTGTCTCTGATTGTGGGATCTGAGGCATTGGTTACTCGGGGGAAGGGTCCTTCGTCTTCTGCTCCTTTGTAACTGTAGACTAACTGCCGGCCTGGTCCCAACCCCCTGAACCACTTAACATGCCCCACAGGGAGCAGGGAGGTCAGGGAGCAGCGCAGAATGACCGTCTCTCCGGCTGCCACCTACACGGACTTGTCAGGCTGGATCACCTGCAGCTCCTCCTCTCTGGCTGCTCCTGCTGGAAAGCAAAGCAGTTCCTTGTTCATCCTGCGTGACCCTGAAGGCTTTCTCAAGCACTATCACAAGGACCCGCTGACAGTGCTCACCTCAGGGGACCCCTGGGTTCAGCACATGGGGATATTATCACCGGGAACCCCCACAATGAGCCTGTAATGTGAGGCTGTTCCAAATGAAGTGGCAGATTTAGTGCCTGAGGCCTCTCTGGAAGGGTCATGATTCACCAAACACTTGCTGGACACTTTGTGGTGTCAGGACATATTGCATTTTCAGTTCTTTAACGTGATGGACCAGGCGAGTCTTGAGACCATTGTTTTGTGAGTGGCAGTGATGGGTGTGTTGGGAGGATGTCCTTGAACGGCAAGAAACTCTGTGGGTGAAGCAACCTCTTCCTGAGATCACATGCTCATGGAAGGGGCTGTTCCCTGGCCTGGGTGCTTGAATGACCAGGAGGTGCTGAGCTCCCGACACACAACGAACGAGGTATTTAAAAAGAAGGAAAACATAGTTTTAAGCCTGGAATTTTTTTTCCAATGCCATGATCATGTGTGTTAGTGTATATTACTTCTATCATTTTTTCCCAAAAACTCAATGGCTGAAAATAGTGAATTTCCATAACAGATGAGGCATAAACAGAATGTGGCTTAAATAATGGAATATTACTCAGCCCTAAAGAGTAATGTCCTTTTATGTAGCTAAATCTTAACAATATTTTGCTAAAAAAATATGAGCCAGACAGAATAGGACTGATATACAGTTCTTATTATAGGCTAGAATTAGAATAGGCAAATTCATACATAGAAGTAGTAGGATGGAGGCTATCTGGGGCTTCTGGGATAGAATGATAGGGAATTTATTGTTGGATGTGTACAAAGTATTCTCCTAGGATGTTAAAAAGATTGTGAAGTGCATCTTGTTAACAGATTGAAATAGTGTGAATGTACTTGCGGCCACTGAATTATAACCTAAAAAGTGGTTCAATGGTATGTTTTATGTGTGTTTTGCCACAATGAAAAATATTTGGTCAGGCAAAGTGACTACCCTGATTCATGCCTTTGAGCTGGACTAAGTGGCTCAAGATTGGGAACTTGAGAACCCTGCTCTAGAAAGTGGAGATGGAACCAGTGGGCAAGACAGCAAGGAGGGAGCCGACCTCTGGCTGTGTTTGAAAAGAACCATAGGGGGGTGCTCGTGTGGTGACCCGGGATTGTGAGCTGTAGGGACAGGAGTGGCCCGTGGTCATCTACCTGCAGGTGCAGGAGTTCGCAGTTCACGTTCACTGCAGCTGCAACAGCCGGTTTCTGGAGACACCAGAGACATGAGAGAAGATTCCTTTGTGTTGAAACTGTCCTAAAACAGGCATGGGCTCAAGTGACAGGGCCAGGACTATAAATCAGAGGAGCAGATTGTTCTTGGACTCAAACAATTCTCTACTTTTTTTTTTTATTTCTTAAGAGAAAATTTGCGGTTCACATTTGTGGAGTGTGAGCTGGGAAGGCCCATCTACCTTGTACCCTTCATCGCGAACATGCTGCCAAGGAGGGACATGCTCTTGGGAGGAGGATCCTATGGTGTGTCTGGAACACGGAGAGCGTGGTTAATATTAAGGAGGATTTTGGGGGTGTGGTGTAGTCAAAAATGAGGAGAAATATGAATGAATCTGGAGGGAGAAATGGAGAAATAGAAGTGGAGGAAAAGAAGGTCAGACAGTAGCCAGAGCCACAAGTGGGGAAGTGTCATTAGAGTCTCTGTGGCTCCTGCATTTACATCTCTGCCAGACCTTTCCCCTGAAATTGGACTTGTATGGCCAAAGCACCCTGGACATGGTGCCTGGATGGAAAAGTACAGCTCACAGTTGACAGGTCTCTCTATGTCCCATGAGGCCCCTTATTCTTCCAGAGGCTCAGGTCCACACCTTTGCCTCTTTCTCTCCCATCCAAAGGCTGCGGGTCACAGAATCTGTTGCTGCTTCATCATGTGTCTAAGGTCTGACTTCGCCCGTCTCTACAGCAGCTGTCCTCGTGCACCGGTGTTCCTTGTTTCCCCATGAAATGACCCCTTAAATGTTCTAGTTGCTTCTCGTCCAAGTGCTAGCGTGATTAAAGCTAATGTCAGATCATCACGTCTTTCTTTAGACTTTGCAGTGGCACCACTCACGGGAGCCCACATCCTTGAACAGAACAGAAAAGTCTCCTCGCAGGGCCTCTGCCCGTGCTGCTCCCTGTCAGGAAGGCAATTCCCCCCAAACTCCACCGGCTCATCCCACACCACCTTTTAACCTTTGCTCAAGTTTCTCTCTCAGAGATGCCCAACCACACTGCCTTGTTTAAAATATAGCTTGCTGCAGGTATTTGCAGTTCTCTTATCTAGGAATAATTTCATTTGTTGCCCATAACCCTGATCCTCCCCTAATACACTGTATTTTGTACTTATTCAGTGTGTCTATTGTCTGCTGTCATTTCTCCCACTAAGACATAACTCCAAGAGGGCAACAACTTTGTTTCTTCAGCAACACTCCTCTCATTCCTGTAACAGCTTCTGACACATAGTAGGTGTTCAATAAATGGTTGATCATGTGACTGTCCGTTACTGCACCTTCCTGAGACCCGATATCTATTTTGAGCAGTAATACCCAGAGTTTCCCATGGAGATATTTGGCCAAAGATAAAAACAACTTCCAGGAAGAGGAAGAACCCAGGAGAGAAAGTCACAAACCCTCTTTCCCACACTCTCACTTCCCCCACCCACACACAGAAGCTGCAGAAAGCTCCTGGGGAGGAGACGGGTCATGCGCATCCGAGAAGGGTGGTGGTTAACCCGGGAAATCTACAGTCAGACCGTGTGAGTTAAATCCAGCTCTACCAGTTGGGGTGAGTGACCTCGAACCTCTCTGTGCTTCCGTTATTCCACCTGTAAGGAGGGGGATAAGTTAGCTCCCTCAGAGATAATGGTCACAGGAGATGACACCTCCAGGCCTTTCCCGCTGTGTCTGGTACATGGTGAGGGTTCAAGAAATTGAAATGATTTTCCTCATCGGATTTCCTGAGGCTGAGAGGCTTCTGGGGACATAGATGGCAGAGATAGGAGTGCAGCTAGAATCACACACGGGGATCATTGCTCTGTATCCTTCAGGAACCTGCACCTCCCCCTTCTTGTCTCCTCAGCCCATCCAGCCTGGAGGAGGCCTCCAAGGAGGAATGCACAGAATTCCACTCCCAGATTTCCTGAGGCCTGAACGGACGCTGGATGACAGCGCATGGGGAGAGGTGCAAACCCAGATGTGGGCGCAAGGACAGATGGAGACGGTCTAGGTGAGGCTCTGTGTTTCCATCCCCTTCTTTCCTCCTCACCCCCTTGCAGCACGAGGGCAGGACTCCAAGAAAATCATGCACACACTTTACTCTCTGACCAAGGGAGAAGAATTTTTTGTCTAATAGTTTTGAGAAGGACAAGGGGAAATTTGAAGTAGAAGGGGAAGGAAGAGAGTAGAGAGACTCAGAACTAAATTTTTGTCAATGTGCACTGCATGCAGACTGAGAAATGATTGGAGAGAACAATGGAAAAAAACCTTTCAAAAATCCCACAAGAGTGTGTGTGTATCTGCACACTTCTCACATGTGTACATACATGCACATACACCACAACATACATGCATTTGCAAATACATATGAAGAGCTGTCCAGTTGCTAGTATACAAGGAGTATGTTTGAGGATTGTGTATGGTAAATGCTCATTAAAAATATTGGTACATAGTAACGATCTATCATTCATAACAAAAGTTTGTGAGCACAAAGCAGAATTTCAACCCTGTCCTACCTCCTGTTCCTCTGTCCTAGCTCTCTGTCCTATATCTAGACTCTACTTCCTTCTCCACATGTCTAACTTTTCTGCAAGAGCCTCCACTAAGTAGCCAACAGCATAACGTGGTAAAAAGAATGAATGTTGAAGTTATTGGCCCTTGACGTGAATACTGGCTTCTCCACAGACTTGGGTAGATGGTGTTGGGTACGTTATGCTCTCTGCCTCGGTTTCCCCTTCGGCAAAGCAGGGACAATAATTGTCGTTATAAACAGTTATGCTGTGAGGATCAGCCAAGTTAACACACTTGTCAAACCATCATCTGTTTTGATGTCCCTGATAACAGTTGCAGGTGACAGAGCCACAGAAAAGTTGCTCAGATCCCTGATTCTGTGCTCTCAAGTAATGTCTAATCCTTGGCTCTCTGTGGTAGCCCCAGTGGGCTTACATTTGTTTACCTGAATGCCCTACAACTCCTTGGCTAAAGAGGCATTCAGGGCAGGGAGGGGGGATCTTCCCATGGCCATGCTCACCTGTGAGTCCCAGCAGTAAAGCCAGCAGCAGGCAAGGAGACTGGTGGGTCCAGGAGACAAGGGCAGGCATCCTGGAACTGGAGGAGCCTGCTCTGTCCGGGTGTGTGCTGGGAGTCCAGACTCTGCTCTGTGGAGAGGAGGCCCTTGTGCGATACAAGAGGAAGCTCACATTGGTGGTGAAATGACGAGGTGTTGACACACTTCCACTGTGAAGCTGGGATGGAGGGAAGTTTAAGGTCAGGAGCTTCTCATATGTGTTCAGAGACTTGTGTAGCCTCGTAGAAATAGTGCCTCACCCTTGAGCCCTGAGCTCTCTGCACTTGCTTGCTACCCATTCTTGGGGTCTCTGTGACTATCCATTTAGGAGCCCCAGGAAAAGAGAATCCCACAGGGATACAAGCTGTGTCCCACACGCCCATGGCCAGGACCTAGGATGTGAGTGGCTGGTAGCCAGTCTGTGCCCCTCCACCAAGACGTGCTCACAGGCCAAGGGCCTGCTGAGGACTACAATAGTGAGAAACTAGGAAAGGTGTCTAAGAAGACATTTGCCTGCAGTGTCTGTAACTGAGGATCCAGAACATGGAGATGTCATCACTACAGGTGACCAGCGCAAGCTGTCCTGGGAGAGACTGAACTGACCAGGGCTGACCAGCTAAGGTTCATGGGTTTCAAGAGCTTGTGGGTCACTGAAGCTTTGGTAAGGATTTCCTTACAGTGAATAAAATTTCCCTTCAGTCCCTGACACAAGTTCAAAAACCTCACAAGGTGTATAATGTAATCATACGGAGGGTCTGCTTTTAACTGGGTCTAGTGTAACTCCTTCAGGCAATATTCTGAAAAGGGCCATAAAAAGTATAACAGGGGGCTTGAATGTAGTGCCATGAAGCTGTCTGCAGCCTCTGCAGTACGGGTTCAATTCCCAGTCAGCCAGGGAGATTCCCACATGGCGCAGCAGACCTCTCCTGTCTTGCCTGCTGCTCCCCGAGCAGTGTTTTCTGTCCATCTGCTTGTTCTGCTCCCTGCTCTGTCCTTGGTGAATTCTCTCACCTTCTACACCTCTGGTCTGTACCCCATTCTTGCATAAATAAATAGATAAATCTTTAGAAAAATATAGGGTGACGAGGATAGAAAGTTTGCATGTGAGAGGTTTGAGGTTGGGGTAACTGAACAGTGTATCTCCATCACCCCTTGTGGGGAGACAATAAATAATCCCTAAGAGAGAGAAATCAAAACATAGCAATACAAGTATATCCTCTCTGAGATAGGGCAGTAAAATCTAAAACACTCAGTTGAAAGCATTGAAAAGAGTTGCTTCTGGGAGGAGGACATGGTCATATTAGGTGACTCCAGCTTTCCTATTAGAACTTGTGGAACTACTTGACTTTCAAACCATGCGCATATGAGCCTAATCTGTAGGTAAAAACTGATTTTCAATCATTAGGTTAATGTTACAAGAGTTACCCCCAAAGAAAACATACCAATAGTACTACTCAGTATGTTGTGTGCTCTTGGTGAGCATAAGATCGATGCTCTGAACACAATCCCATACCATAGTCAAGAGTCATTGAAAACAGTGATAATACACTTTTATATCCACAGATTGGGAATTGTTAAAGAAAGCTCTAACTAGGGACTCATAAAATCATCATGGGAAAACTCTAAAATTATGAATTGAAAGTCATTAAACAAAACTAAAATAGATGTATGTCATGAATGGGAAAAGTCAATACATGGAAGATTTCAGTCGACGAAAATAATATGTAAATTCAATGCGATCAAATAATAATTCTAAATGAGCTTCCATGAAACTTGAGAATGATTCTAAGATCACTTGGACCCGAAGAATCATGACAATTTTAGACAAGAAAAGTGGGAAACTTGGCTAAAGTGGTCTCAAAATTTTTTACAAGGCCATTCTCCTTGTCCACGTAGCTTTGACTATTAGATAATTAGCTCAATGACACAAAGTCCTCATAAAAAGAACCACAGGTGTCTACAGAAACTTGATGTAAAGTGAAGGGGCAGTGAAGATCAGTGAGTGCTGGGTAACTTAACCTTGTGGGAGAAAATTATAACACGACTACCCCTTACACACACACACACACACAGCAGATCAGTGTAGCTAGATCAAAAGCATGAATCAAAGAAGCAACATTTGATCAGAAAGTGAAAACTCTTCTGCACAACAAGGCCCCCAATTGAAACAACATGCAGCTCTGCAGGCCACGCTAGGAGGGTGAGGGGTGCTGTCCCGGATGGAGGGAGGACACCAATATAAGAGTCTTATTGGGAAGTTTTGCTTCAAAGCACCAGGTAAAGCTTCAATATCCAGTATGAGAAGAAATATAAATTGTGGCATAGTCTTCAATAGGAGACTACAGAGCAGTGTAAAAAGCAGTCATATAATATCCTTCAAGGGCTACGCGGGATGAGATGAAGGCATGCTTGTTGTAGAGTCAAAGCGGGTTTTAATGTGGTTTTCTCATTAGAGCAAGTTGCACGACCTGCCCTAGTTTCCGTTTTCTTCCCTGGCTTGTAGCCGACGATGGTGGAACCAGCTCTGATGCAGTGACTGGCGTCGTGCCTCTCTGGGTCTCACTCCCAGCAGCCCCTTGTGCCCATCCGACTGCACTTTGGCCATGTGATGAGAACTGAAAGCTGCTGACTGGGAATTCTGCGGGTGTGCATTCCTGAGAGGCCCCTGGATGGAGCCAGCTCTGGGGTCAGCCTGTGAGAAGGGACAGAGGGGTGGGGGCAGAAGGTCTCTGGGGGAGGAGCCTGGGGAGCAGAGTCTGTGGTTGCTCTTGTCCCTCCTCCACTAGGCCAGTCCTTCAGGAGGGAGGAGGCTACAGAGCTGGAGGTGCAGGCAGCAGGGAGGAGGGAAGAAGCTGCAGGAGACATGTCACATTTAATGACCTGCCTGTGCTCAGGACGCACTCCCTGTGTGTCTCTCATGGCTCTGGTGCTGCTCTCTTGGGCAGTCTCCTAGACAGGCCTCTGCACCTCAGCCTTTGCTCTCGCCCTTGTGCTGACGCCTCTGACCCTTCCGCTCCAGAGCCCCAGAAGCACCTCAGAGCAGCAAACCTGGGACTGCTCAACACTCCCCTCATTGTGGATTCCTTTTCACCCACAGAGTCCCCATGTTCAAAATATCTAGACATGGTCTCCAAGGGAGCCCCTCACTGAAGCCCTCTATTTAGGACCCTGCCTGTTTCTTCCACAACACACCAAGGCTCCCCAGTCACTCTGGAACACCCTCTGCAGTTCCCCAAACACTTTCTGGATGCTGGGATGTTTAGAGGGACCTAAGCCTCCTGAGGGTGTTGAGGGAGGTGTGTCAGCTTCTCTTATTTCCTGGGGGCCCTGACCACGTGTGACCGGGGGGCTGCCCTCCACCTGACCTTGCCCTCCCAGGACAGACCTTGGCCTGCCCTCCCTCCCCAGGACTTACAGTCAGGGCCTCTGCTTCCTGTGCATGTAGGAGGCAGAGACACCCACCAGCACCAGCACCTTAGAGCCCAGGAGGAGAGCGATGAGGAGTGGCATGGACTGCTCTTTGCCTGGAAGACAAGGGACAGGAGGCGCTATTAGGGGCCACACTGGAGCCCTTCCCTGGGCCTCCACTACCCGCTGGGCTCCCTTTGTCCGTCAACCCTCTAAAGCTTGAACCTGCGTCCTTCTCTAGATTAAGGCAGAAATCAGGGTAAAGAGCTTCCCGAGGTGATGGAGGGTGAGGACTGTGCTCTACTGATTATGAATGTGAGGTTCAGGGAGTTGAGGGGGCCCTGCAAGAGCAGTGTGACCAAAATAAGGAAAATCCACCACTGTCTGGTAGGATGATGCCAGATTTGCTCTTTGCACAAGAAGACTCAAACCTCAGGGTCTCGTGAGTGACCTACCACATGTGCAAGGAGAGTGTGGGAGGCTCTTGGGGGAGGGAGTCCAGGCCGCCCGCTCCCCAGGAATGGTCTCCATGGTTGGGGGGCCCTGCAGTGTCTGACCTGTGAGAACAGATGGCTGGGAGCACCTGGTGAGTGAGGAAAGGGGCTGATGTGTGGGCAGGGCTACAATTGGGCCCTGGTGGGACCTGAGATGTGGGGTGTGCCCCTTGGGCCAAATCACTGGGGGCCCTTCTGTCCACTGGGGCGGCCAAGGACAGTGCAGAGAGCAGCTGCTTCTCTCCAGAAATGGTCTCTGCAGCCAACAGCTACTCAAAGGGGGAAAATTAATCCCCACCGGCCACCTTGTTGCTCCTTGACTCCTTTCTCTATAACCTAAAACCGCAGGGTATTGACATGGACATGAAGTCACAGGGGACTGAATCTTGCAGGTTGTATATTCTAGTGAGTCCTTGTGATTTGCTGGCCCATGTCAGCTCCAGACTTACACCCCACGCCCAGGGAGACCAGCAACTACTTCACAGACAGAGGACCAGCATCAGCCGGTGACGCTGATCATAGGAGTGTAGAGACCAGCACAGACTAGAGATTCAGTAGATTGTGGGGAACCAGGAGGGGTGGCTGACCTGGCTGTTGCAGCCACTATGGGGGGCAGATGGTAAGAGCAGGACTGAGAGTGGGAGCTTCACCTCCAACCCCCACTTTCTCTTTCATGCTTATGTCCATGACCTGCAATGCTTGGTTCTGAACACTTGACCTGTGGGCACTCAGGGTGTGAAAATTGGGATGAGGCGGCTCCTTTATATTCTGCTCATAGCTGTACATTCTAGATTATCAATAACACATGAATTGTTACTAGTGGCACTAAAAAAATAAGATAAAATATAAAAGGTTGGGTCAGTTGGAGCTGAGGCCTGACCTGAAGTTACATCTGTGTCCTGCTTGTCCTTGTGAGCTGAGGCCACCAGGGTGAGGGCTTTGGAGACCGCCGGCTGCCTGTCATGCTCCACCTGGCAGGTGAGCACCACATTCCCCCTGTTGGCAGAAGCGTTCACCAGGAGCCAGCTCGTGCAGGTGAAGGTCCCATCCTTGTTCTCCAGGAGAGTCAAGGGCTTTTCTGTTCGGGACACGTTTCCGTTCTCCAACCAGGTCAGCTGTAGGTTCCGGGGGTAGAACTCCTTCACCTGGCAGGTGACAATCACCTGGTTCCCTGCCGCGGGATACTGGGAAACCTCCAAGGTAGGCGGGACTGTAACAGCACAGGGGAGAAGCTCTGACCTTATGGCACAGATCCCAGGGGAGGGGCCCCATTGCTTGCCCCCCACCACAGCAGGTGGGTCACCCGGGACATGCTGGGAAGGCAGCCGGCCTCCAACACTGAGGTTCTCTCTGCATGTGTGTGCGACCACTAAGCAGAGTGCCCAGCCCATAGTAGATGCTCAAGGACTGGAGTGTAATAGGAGGGAAATCAACAGGCCCCGCCACTGCAGGCAACGGTGGGATCACAATCACTGTGGCAAATAAATGCCATCCCCAAGCACCTTGGGCAGGGCTATAGAGGGTGCCCAGTGATTTGGTGGCTATGGGTTAAGTTCAGGAAGCTGCCCACTCACTGCCGGGCACGTGGGAGGTGCTGCCCTGGCAGCTGCCGGGGAGACAGGGGGAGTGACCCGCACATATAGGGCTAGTGATGGCCAAGGATGGTGGGACTGGACTCTGGGACATCACCGCCTGGAGCGAGTGGGGAGGAGCAGGCTGTGTCTCAGGCAGGGTTGGGCTGGGGGGTTCACACCTCGGATGGTCTCAGACAAGTTGGCTGTCCCACGAAGACCGCCGCCCTGCAGGGTGACGTGGGACACTTCGCAGATGACCTGGGAGCGGACGTCCCCCGACGCCAGTGGCACCGTGGCTGTGCTGGAGACGTTGTAGGAAACGGCCAATCCTGGGGGGTCCACGTTGGGCCGGGGGGCTGGCAGCTCATTCCCATTTTTGAACCACTTCAGGCTGATGTCTCTGGGGGAGAAGCCGTGGGACTGGCACGTGAAGGTCACCATCTGCCCAGGGGTGGCCCTCTCTGTGGGCCCCGATACCACAGGGCGAGAGGGTTTGGCTACGGAGGAACATTTGTAACAATAAGCGTGACTGACTCCCCAAGGATAAGTGGGTGACACTGTTTATAACTTCACCTGATGATTAAATGAGAGTGTCATCACCCTCATTTAGGGACACCCAGGTTCCCATAGGTGAACCAGGACCAGGGAATGTTGACAGGGTTGCAGGCCTGGGTTCAGAGTCCCCCTCTCTAGCTCTGGGGGATTTCCCATCAGTCTGGGCTCAGGAACAACATGACCTTGGTCTCTATAGCTGTTCCTGACCTGCCAGCCTGGGAGCATTTCCAAGGTCAGAGAAGCAACACAGGAGGACGCAGCAGGGCAGGGGACCTGTGGAGGCTGGAACCAGGCTGCCAGTCTAGGAGAGGGGGCCGGGCACCTCCCTCACGCATCTGTGAAACTGGACGCATGCTCTTGCTCCTGGGATGCATGAGGGAAGCAGGCCGCGGAGACAAGTTTCATCAGATAAACGCAGATCAGTGATGAGCCCAGGCCTGGTCTCCCATCTCTCCCCGTGGGCGGGGAGGGATTTAATTCAAACTTTTCATTCTTTAAACAATTTCCGAGTAGGTCTCATCTCTGCCCAGCTCTGATTAAAAGGGAGGGTACAGATGATGGTGAATAGGGGTTCTCCTTGGCCTCAGGGTCAGGTTTGGCTGGAAAGAAGGATCCCTGAGCCTGAGGAAGCCAAGGCAGGCGTCTCTCAGTGTCATTAAATAAGAGACAGACACAGGCCTGGAAAGTGTCAGAAGTGACTCTCTCATCCTGGGGAGGGGCAGAGCCCAGGGGACCGCAGGCAGCACCGGCATGTGAGTGACCACTTTGGTCTCTGTTCTGCATCCTTGAGCCTCCATGTGTGTTTCTGTGCAAAGTGATCAAAGCCCCACCGGGCAGAGGAGTGAGGATGTGTCCACTCAGGCAGGTTCACAGCAGGTGCTGACATCCAGCTCCTGTGGCTGCTGTCCAGTCCTGGTCACCACCCACCTGACACTGTCTGGGGTGGGGGGAAGCGTGTAGGGGACACACCCAGGAATGTAGCAAGTCCTCAGCTGCTGTGAAGAACCCCATTGAGGAAAGCAGCAGACACCACTGATGGTGGTTCTCTGTCTCGTGTTACAGGCCCGCTAGGAAGCCATTTGGGGGAACGACACCAACACATAAATGAGATCCGAGGTGTTTTCATGAAGTTTTTTCTTTATGAAAAGCTGCGGCACTTTGAAAGGAAGGAGAACAGACTTTCTCAGAGACATCTTGAGGTTCAGGCAGAAGCCTGTGAGGATCTCAGCCCCTATTCGCAGCCGCCTCAGCTCCCATTTAAATATTTAGAGGTGGGAGTTTTTCCCAGCAATGAAGCTGGGTCCTAAACTGGGTGTCTCATGTCTTCCTGAGGCCCAGAGGGTGGGAATACAACCCCAGTGAGGTGAGCTCTGTGGGGCGACCAGGGCCTCCATGAGCCCATGCTGTTCAGAAGCAGCACACCCCAAAACGTTGCTCACATGGACAGAGGAGCACAAGGAAACACTTTTGTTAGGGGAAAAAAAATGCAACTTTTCTTCAGACACCTGAACTGTGCAGCTAGGTAATCTGGGGTTCCAGACCACATTCCCATTTCCCAGCCACATGACCTTGAACAACAGGCATGACTTGTGCAGCCTCGACTTCTGCGGTCTGTAGAAGGGGTGAATCAAGCCATGTAGACCAGCACCCACATCCACGCCTGACTCTTAGCTGTTGCTCACAGAAAGGAGGGCGTGACAGTGACCTGCTGCCACACGCGGGCCCCACGGTACTCACCACTCACGGTGATCTGCGTGCCTGGTCCCGACTTCAGTTCTGTGTCAGGGCTCCCTCTCTGGAACTTCACACAATAGTAGGCCCCAGTGTCTGCTGGGGTGATGTTACTGATGCGGATGGAAAAGTCCTTGTTGTCTCTGATTGTGGCATCTGAGACACTGGTTACTCGGGGGAAGGGGCCTTCTCCTCCTCTGAAACTGTAGACTAACTGTTGGTCTGGACTCGACCCCCTGAACCACTTAATATACCCCACAGGGAGCAGGGAGGTCAGGGAGCAGCGCAGAGTGGCCGTCTCTCCGGCTGCCACCGACACGGACTTGTCAGGCTGGATCACCTGCAGCTCCTCCTGGCTGGCCGCTCCTGCAGGGAAGCACAGTGGTTACTCGTTTATCCTGCGTGACCCTGCGGGCTTTCTCAGAGTTATCACCAGAACCTGCTGACAAGTGCTCACCTCGGGGGTTCCTGGTCTCAGCACATTGGGGTGTCAACACATGGAACCCCCACAACGAACCTGTAATGTGAGGCTGTTCCTAATGAGGACACTGAGGCACAGGGAGGGTGAGGTGGATGGATTAGAGCCTGAGCCATCTCTGGAAGGGTCATGCTACACCAAATACTGGCTGGACACTTTGTGGTCTCAGGAGATGTTGCATTTCAGTCCTTTACATTCATGGACACTAGAGTCTTGAGACCATTGGTTGGTGGCGGAAGTGATGGGTGTGTTTGTAGGATGGATTGAACAGCAAGAACCTCTGTGTGTCCAGCAACCTCTTCCATAGATCATGTGCTCATGACAGGAGTGTTTCCAGGGTGCGTGCATGAGCATGAGGTGTTGAGCTCCCTAAAAACAGTGAACGAGATATTTAATAAAAGGAAACATGGTCTCAAGTATCGGCTTTTTTCCAATTTCATGATCATGGTATATTTGTGTCTATTACCACTATAAATGTTTTTGTAAGAGTCAATGGATTATTGGGCCTCCCAGTGGCGCAGCGGTTGAGCGCTGGGTTGCGAAGCTGCCTGTGGCCTCTGAAGCACCGGTTCCATCCAAGGCTGCTCCCCTGCCACCGGAGGAGGGTCCCACATGGCACACAGACCTCTCTTGCCGCCCGCTGCTCCCCTCAGCAGTGTGCTTCGGTCCTTCTGCCTGCTCTGCTCCCCGCTCTGGCTCTGGTGAATTCTCTCACCCTCCCGCGCTTCTGACTGTACCCAGTGCATGTATAAACAAACAAACAAACAAATAAATAAATAAATAAATAACATGCCTCTATAAAAAAAAAGAGTCAATGGATTAAAATAATGAATTTCCATTAACAGATGAAGGTATAAACAGAATGTGCCATAAATAATGGAATATTACTCAGCCCTAAAGAGGGAATGAGATCATTTATGTCCTTTTACATAGATAAAAGTTGACAACATTTTCCTAAATAAAATGAACCAGAAAAAAAGGATTGATATACAGTTCTAATTACATGAAGTAGTTAGAATTAGCAAATTCATAGAGACAAGTAATAGCATAAGGGTAACCTTGGGCTGCTGGGGAAGATTAATAGGGAATTTATTGTTAGTGGGTACAGAGACTTCTCCCAGGATATTGAAAAGATTCTGACATGCATCCTGGTGACAGTTTGAAATAATGTGAACGTACTTGATGCCGCTGAATTACATCCTAAAAAAGGTTCAATGGTGAGTTTTATGTGATGTGTGTTTTGCCACAATGTAAAATATGTGGTCAGGCACGGTGACTACCCTGATTCATGCCTTTGAGCTGGGCTAAGTGGTTCAAGGCTGGGGGACTTGAGAACCCTGCTCTAGAAGGTGGAGATGGAACCAGTGGGCCAGACAGCAAGGAGGGAGCGACCTCAGCCTATGTATGAAAAGAACTGTCGGGGTGCCCGTGTTGGGACCCTGGGTCATGAGCTTAAGAGACAGGAATGGCCCGTGGTCATATACCTGCAGGTGCAGGGCTTTGCTGTTCACTTTCATTGCAGCTGCACTACCTGGTTTCTGGAGACACCAGAGAAATGCCAGAACATTCCTTCTTGTTCAAAGTGTCCTAAAACAGGCATGGGTTCAGGTGGCAGGGCTATAAATCAGAGGAGCAGATTGTTGGAGGACTCAAACAAATCCTCTGACTTTTTTTATTTCTTAGGACACAATTTGCGGTTCACCTTGGCAGAGTGTGAGCTGGGAAGACCCACCCACCTCCCACCCTTTGTCACAAACATGCCCTAAGGAGGCACAGCCTGTAGAGGGCGGGGCCTTTGGTGTGTCTCGATCACAGAGGGGGTGGTTAATTTCAAGGAGGATTTTGGGTTGTGGGGTAGACAATAATGGCAAGAAATATGACTCTGGAGGGAGAAATGGATGAGGGAAAGAAGGTCAGACAGTCAGCGGTAGCCACGTCATGGGGAAGTGTCATCCATGTCTCTGTGGCTCCCGCGTTTACATCTCTGCCAGACCTTCTCCCTGAAAGCCGGACTTGTACGGCCAAAGCCCCCTGGACATGGTGCTTGGATGGAAAAGCACAGCTCACAGTGGACAGGTCTCTCTATATCTCCAGAGGCCCCTTATTCTTCCAGAGGCTCAGACCCAAATATTTGCCTCTTTCTCTCCCATCCAAATCCTGCAGGTCAGAGAATCTGTTGCTGCTTCATCACATGTCTGAGGTCTGACCTCGCCCGTCTCTACAGCAGCCGTCCTCGTGCACAGTGTTCCTTGTTTCTCCAAGGAATCTCCTCTTATATGTTTTTTCTACTTGCCTCTCTGTCCAAGTGCTAGCATGATTAAGGCTAATGTCAGATCATCACGTCTCTCTCTGACTTTGCAGTGGCACCACTCACGGGAGCCCACGTCCTTGAACAGAACAGAAAAGCCTCCACGCAGGGCCTCTGCCCATGCTGCTCCCTGTCAGGAGGGCTCTAACCTAGAATCTACCTATCTCATCCCACATTTCCTTTTAACCTTTGCTCAAGTTTCTCTCTCAGAGATGCCACCCACACTGTCCTTTAAAAAAATCCATCCTGCTCCAGATACTGGCAGTTCTCCTACCTGGGATACTTTCATTCTTTGCCCTTCACACGGGTCAGACCTTAACACACCGTGTCTTGGACTTACCTAGCGTGTCTATTGTCTGCTGTCATTTCTCCCACTGAGACATAACCCCAAGAGGGCAGCGACCTTGTCTCTTTCCTTTAGCAACTCACCACTCCTGCCTGTAACAGCGCCTGACACAGAGGAGACTTTTGCACCTCCCGGAGACCCCAGTGTCTATTTTGAGCGGAAATCCCGAGAGTTTCCCCTGGAGATGACTTGGTCTAATATGCAAACAGCTTCCAGGAAGAGGAAGAACCCAGAGAAGAAAGTCACAAACCCTCTTTCCCTCACTCTCCCTTCCCCCACCCGCAAACAGAAGCTGCAGAAAGCTCCTGGGGAGGAGACGGGTCACACAGAACCGAGAAGGGTGGTGGTTAACCCGGGAACTCTAGTCAGACCGTGTGAGTTCAGATCGCAGCTCTACCAGTGAGGGTGAGTGACCTTGAACCTCTCTGTGCTTCCATTATTCCACCTGTAAGGAGGGGGATAAGTTAGCTCCCTCAGAGATAATGGTCACAGGAGATGACACCTCCAGGCTTTTCCCGCGTGTCTGGTACACGGTGAGGGTTCAAGAAATTGAAATGATTTTACTCATCAGATTTCCTGAGGCTGAGAGGCTTCTGGGGACATAGATGGCAGAGATAGGAGTGCAGCTAGAATCACACACGGGGATCATTGCTCTGTATCCTTCAGGAACCTGCACCTCCCCCTTCTTGTCTCCTCAGCCCATCCAGCCTGGAGGAGGCCTCCAAGGAGGAATGCACAGAATTCCACTCCCAGATTTCCTGAGGCCTGAACGGACGCTGGATGACAGCGCATGGGGAGAGGTGCAAACCCAGATGTGGGCGCAAGGACAGATGGAGACGGTCTAGGTGAGGCTCTGTGTTTCCATCCCCTTCTTTCCTCCTCACCTCCTTGTAGCACGAGAGCAGGACTCCAAGAAAATCATGCACACACTTTACTCTCTTACCAAGGGAGAAGAATTTTTTGTCTAATACTTTCGAGAAGGACAAGGGGAATTTTGGAGAAGTAGAAGGGGAAGGAAGAGAGGAGAGAGACTCTGAGAACTAAACTTTTGTCAATGTGCACTTCATGCAGACTGAGAAATGATTGGAGAGAACAATGATAAAAAACCTTTTCAAAAATCCCACAAGTGTGTGTGTCTGCACACTTCTCTCACCTGTACATACATGCACATATACCACACATGCATTTGCCAATACATGTGAAGTGCTGTCCTGGCTTGCCAGTATACAAGGAGTATGTTTGGAGGATTGTGTATGTTAAATGCTCATTAAAAATATTGGTACATAGTAACACATCATTAACAAAAGTTTGGGAGCACACACAGCAGAATTTCAACCCTGTCCTACCTCCCCTCCTGTTTCTGTGTTCTAGATGTCTGTCCTATCTCTATTCTGCTAGTTCCTCCATATGTCTAACTTTTCTGCAAGAGCCTCCACTGAGTAGCCAACAGCATAACTTGGTAAAAAGAATGAATCCTGGATTTCTTGGCCCCTGACATGAATTCTGGTTTCTCCACAGACTTGGGTAGATGGAATTGGGCAAATTATGCTCTCTGCCTCGGTTTCCCCTTCTGCAAAGCAGGGACAATAATCATTGTTATAAACAGTTATGTTGTGAGGATCAACCAAGTTAACACACTCGTCAAACCATCATCTGTTTTGATGTCCCTGATAACAGTTGCAGGTGACAGAGCTACAGAAAAGTTGCTCTGACCCCCTGTTCCGTGCTCTCAAATAATGTGGAGTTCTTGACTCTCTGTGGTAGCCCGGGGGATAGCAGCAGGGGTGCATATCCTTGTTTACCTGAATGCCCTACAACTCCTTGGCTAAAGAGACATCCAGGGCAGGGAGGGGGGATCTTCCCAAGGCCATGCTCACCTGTGAGTCCCAGCAGTAAAGCCAGCAGCAGACAAGGAGACTGGTGGGTCCAGGAGGCAGGGGCAGGCATCCTGGAACTGGAGGAGCCTGCTCTATCCAGGTGTGTGCTGGGAGCCCAGATTCTGCTCTGTGGAGAGGAGGCCCTTGTGTGATAAAAGAGGAAGCTCATACCAGTGGTGAAATGACGAGGTGTTGACACACTTCCACTGTGAAGCTAGGATGGAGGGATGCTTAAGATCAGGAGCTTCTCATATGTTTTCAGAGACTTGTGCAGCCTCGTAGAAATAGTGCTTATTCCGTTGGGGTGGCCTGAGCTCTCTCCACTTGCTTGCTACTCCCTCTTAGAGTCACAGGATTCTCCATTCAGTAGCCCCAGGAAAAGAGAATCCCATAGGGATACAAAATGTGTCTCACAGGCCCATTCCCAAGGCACTAGGGTGACTGGCTGGTGGCCATTCTTGCCCCTCCACCAAAGTAACAGTCCAAGCACAGCCCAAGAGACTGCTGAGGATTACTATGGTGAGAACTAGGAAAGGTGTTTAAGAAGACATTGCCTGCAGTGGTCTGTAACTGAGCATCAGAACACGAGATGTCATCACTACAGGTGACCAGCACGAGCTGTCCTGGGAGATACTGGACTGGCCAAGGCAGACCAGCTTAAGTACATGAGTTTCAAGAGCTTATGTCTCACTGAAGCTTAGGTGAGGATTTCCTTGCAGGAGTAGAATTACCCTTCAGTCTCTTTGTTACTCGGCCAGGAGTGGGGACCCCAGAGCCCCCAATCCTGCCTGCTCCAAATAGGATCTGCCACCCGCCATAGCAACACAAAACATGTAAGACTTTAATGGGAAGGAACTTTAATGCAATTAGTAAACTATACAGGAAATGCAAAGAATATAGTTTCTAAATCAAGCACCCAAAATTACTCATCCCCTCATGGGTAAAAGTCCACCCAAATGGGATTGGCCCAAAAACGCCCAAAAGCCTGCCACAAGTCCAAAGCACCTTCTAGTGGGGACCCACAGTAAAGGATCAGAAACAACCAGACAAGCCTGGGAGGAAAAGAGCAAAATCAACACCAGTATAAAATTTGCCATTGTTATCCTCCCTGGGTCTCTCCCCCACATCTATTTCAACCAACCCTTGATGTTGGTAAAAATTGATTTTTGATCATTAGGTTAATGTTACAAAGTTACCCCCAAAGAAAACATACTAACAGTACTAGCAGGTGTCCTGTGCTATTGCTGAATATAAGATCGATGCTCTGAACACAAATAAAATCCTATACCATAGTCAAGAGTCATTGTAAACAGTAATAATACTTTTCTTGTCCACAGACTGGAAATTGTTAAAGACAGCTCTAACTAGAGACTCATCAAACCATTATGAAAAAACTCTAAAATTATGACTAGAAAGTCATAAAAGCAAAACTAAAACAGATGCATACCATGAATGGGAAAATAGAACACATGATTCTAAGATCACTTGGACCTAAACAGTCATGACGTTTTATCTATCTATCTATCTATCTATCTATCTATCTATCTATCTATCTATCTATCTATCTATCTATCTATCTATCTATACAAGCACTGGGTACAGTCAGAAGCTCGGGAGGGCAAGAGAATTCACCAGAGCCAGAGCGAGGAGCAGAACAGGCAGAATGATGAAGTAAATTGGTGAGGGGAGCAGCAGGTGTGGCAGGAGAGGTCTGCGTGCCAGCGCTCAACCGCTGCACCACCAGGGAGGCTCCATAATGTATAAATAAGAAAAAGTGGGAAACTTTGCTCAAAATGGTGTCAAAACTTATTACATAGACTTATTCTTGTCCATGTAGCTTTGACTAAGAGATGAGAAGCTCAATGGAAAAAGATCTCATAAAAAGAACCACACAAGTATATGGAAACTTGATATAAAGTGAAGAGGGCTGTGAAGTTCAGTGAGTGCTTTGTAATAAATTATAACATGACTATTACTTATACATACACATGCACACAGCAGATCAGTGTAGCTATCAAAAGCATGAATTAAAACAGCAACCTTTGATCACAAAGTGAAAACTCTTCTGCACAACAAGGCCCCCAAATGACACAACATGCAGCTCTGCAGGCCACACTAGAGGGGCGAGGGGTGCTGTCCCGCATGGGGAGAGGTCACCAAGATAAGAGTCTTAGTGGGAAGTTGTACTTCAAAGCACCAGGTAAAGTTTCAATATCCAGAATGAGAAGAATTAATAAAGCGTGGCATAGTCTTCTATTGAAGACTACAGAATAGTGGAAAAATCAATCACTGGAGCTACATGGATCAAGTTGAATAAATCCCACAAGCTGTGTTAAGCAATAAACTATAGGAGAACGTCCCGAGTGCTGTAAACTGGATAATTGCATTTATAAAACATTTAGAATATGCAAAGTAATATTAAATATTGCTTAAGTATGTGTATCTATGTTATAAAAGCACAGTCATATCTGAGGATACGAAACACCAAATTCAGGGTAGTGTTTCTTCAAAGGATCAAAAGAACACAATATTGGGAAGACTGGTTCATGGCACAAGGGGTTAAGCACAGCACTATGAAGAAATCCGCAGCCTCTGCAGCACAAGTTCGATCCCCAGCAGGCCAGGAAGCAGCCCACATGGTGCAGCAGACCTCTCCTGCCTCACTTACTGCCCCTTCAGCAGTGTGTTTCAGCCTGTTCTGTTCCCCATTCTGTCTCCGGTGGATCCTCTCAACCTCCTGGCATCTCTGGCCTGTACCCAGCTCTTGTATGCATAAATCAATACATCTTAAAAAAAAAAAAGAACATGATATTAGTATTTTGCAAAGATAGACCAGAAACTCCATGAATAATTATAGAGAAATCCTTACATGTTTCAGAATAGAATAATGTGTATTCAACCTGTGATCTCAGTACATATCTATGAAAACTTCTTGAGAGTTCAGTGAAGATAGGCTGTGTGCTTGCAGGAATATATCTCTTTCATCTTGGTTGTCCAATCTGTGTTATGTGAAGCTGGTATGTGTAGGCACAGTCTCCATGTGCCTCTGTGTTTCTGTGGTTCCTGTTGTAATTTCTCCTCTTCCATTTATATTGTAATTACTTGAGTCCTTCTCCTATTTCTTGTTGAGTCTAGTTAAAGGTTTTCATTAATTATTATTTTTATCTTTTAAAGAACAGACTTGTCACAGATTTTGAAAATGTCTCTAGAATCCCCATTTCAGTATTTCTGCTTGATGCCTGTCAGCCCCTCCCTCTGCTAGCGTGGGGCTCACTTCGTGTGAGAGTCCGCTGTCGTGTGAGTGAGGATGTTACATGGAGTCTTTCTTTTCTCTGAATGTTCACCTTTATCCAGATGGCTTCTTTTTACGAATGCATTGGATGCGTCCTCAGTCACGGGTGGATCAGCCACACAGAGGGCCCCTGTTGAACCTGCTCCTAGTTGAAATGTCACTTCAGGAATTCTCAACTTACTTAAATTATCACACCTCAGTTATATAATGTCCTTAAAGGGCTACATGGGATGAGATAAAGACATGCTTGCTATTGAGTCAAAGCCAATTGTACCGTGGTTTTCTCATCAGAGCAAATTGTACCACCTGCCCTAGTTTCCGTTTTCTTCCCTGGCTTGTGGCAGATGATAGTGGAACCAGCTCTGATGCAGTGACTAGCATAGTCCCTTTCTGGGTCTCACTCCCAGCAGCCCCTTGTTCCCATCCGACTGCATTTTGGTCATGTGATGAGAACCGAAGCTGCTGACTGGGAATTCTGCGGGTGTGCTTTCCTGAGAGGCCCCTGGATGAAGCCAGCTCTGGGGTCAGCCTGTGAGAAGAAACAGTGGGGGTGGGGGCAGCAGGTCTCTGGGGGAGAGGCCTGGGGAGCAGATTCTGTGGAGGCTCTTGTTCCTCCTCCTCTAGGGGGGTCCTTCAGGAAGGGAGGAGGCTGCAGAGCTGGAGGTGCAGGCAGCAGGGAGGAGGGAAGAAGCTGAGGGAGACATGTCCACATTTAATGATCTGCCCGTGCTCAGGACGCACTCCCTGTGTGTATCTTATGGCTCTGATGCTTCTCTCTTGGGCAGTCCCCGAGATAGGCCTCTGTACCTCAGCCTTCGCTATGGCTGACACCTCAGCCCTTCTGTGCCTCACACAGAGCCTCAGAAACACCTCAGAGCAGCAAACCTGGGACTCCTCAAGACTCCTTTCACTGTGGATTCCTTTCCACCCATGGAGTCCCCATGTTCAAATGATCTAGAGATGGTCTCCAAGGGAGCCCCAACTCAGGCCCTCCATTCAGGCCCTTGCCTGATTCTTCCACACCACCCAGGCCTCCCCAGTCACTCTTGAACACTCTTTGCAGTTCCCCAAACACTTTCTGGATGCTGGGAATGTTTAGAGCAACCTAAGCCTTCTGAGGGTGTTGAGGGAGGTGTGTCAGCTTCTCTTATTTTCCGGGGGCCCTGACCACATGTGACCTGCTGAACTAGCCCCTCCCAGGACAGAACTTGACCTGGCCTCTCTGCCCAGTACTTACAGTTAGGCCTCTGCTTCCTGTGCATGTAGGAGGCAGAGACACCCACCAGTAGCAACACCTTGGAGCCCAGGAGGAGAGTGATGAGGAGAGGCATCCACTGCTCTTTGCCTGGAAGTCAAGGGATAGGATGCGCCATTAGGGGCCACACTGGAATCCTTCCCTGGGCCTCCACTACCCACTGGGCTTCCCTGGTCCATCAAGCATCTGAAGCTTTAAGCCTGCATCCTTCCTGGGATTAAGGCAGATGGTAAGAGCAGGACCAGAATGGGAGCATCAACTCCCACCCCAACTTTCTTTCTTTAATGCTTATGTCCATGACCTGCAATGCTTCATTCTAAACACTTGACCTCTGGACACTCAGGGTGAGGAAATGTGATGAGGCAGCTCCTTTAAATTCTGTCCATAGCTATACATTCTAGATTATCAATAAAACATGAATTGTTACCTGCAACATTAAAAAAATAAGATAAAATATAAAAGGTTGGGTCATTGGAGCTGAGGCCTTACCTGAAGATACCTCTGTGTCCTGCTTGTCCTGGTGAGCAGAGGCTGCCAGGGTGTGGGGTTTGGAGACCGCGGGCTGCCCGTCATGTTCCACCTGGCAGGTGAGCACTACATTCCCCCTGTGGGCAGAAGCGTTCACCAGGAGCCAACTCCTGTAGGTGAAGGTCCCATCCTTGTTCTCCAGGAGAGTCGAGGGCTTTTCTGTTCGGGATTTGTTTCCGTTCTCCAACCAGGTCAGCTGTAGGTTCCGGGGGTAGAACTCCTTCACCTGGCAGGTGACAATCACCTGGTTCCCTGCCGCGGGATGCTGGGAAACCTCCAAGGTGGGCGGAACTGTAACAGCACAGGGCAGAAGCTCTGACCTTATGGCACAGATCCCAGGGGAGGGCCCCTTCACTTGCCCCCACCTTAGCAGGGGCGACACCCAGGACATGCTGGGCAGGCAGCCGGCCTCCAACACTGAGGTTCTCTCTGCATGTGTGTATGATCACTAAGCACAGTGCCAGCACACAGTAGGTGCTCAAGGACTGGAGGGCAATAGGAGGGAAATCAACAGCCTCCCCCCTCCACTTGCAGGCAGCAGTGGGGTCACAAACACTGTGGCAAATCAATACCAACCCCAAACACCTCAGGCAGGGCTATAGGGGGCGCCCGGTGTTGGGGTGGCTGTGGGTAAAGTTTGGGAAACTGCCTCCTCACTGCGGGGCATGTGGGAGGTGCTGCCCTAGCAGTTGAAGAGACTGGGGGAGTGACCCACACACGCAGGGCTGGTGATGGCCAAGGACAGTGGAACTGGATGCAGTACAACTGGGCCTGGAGCGAGTGGGTTGGAGCAGGCTGAGTATCGGGCAGGGCTGGGCTGGGGGGTTCACACCTCGGATGGTCTCAGACAAGTTGGCTGTCCCGCGAAGACGGCCGCCCTGCAGGGTGACGTGGGACACCTGGCAGATGACCTGGGAGGGGACGTCCCCTGGCGCCAGCTGTAACTTGGCTGTGCTGGAGACGTTGTAGGAACCGGCCTCTCCTGGGGGGTCCACGTTGGGCCGGGAGGCTGGCAGCTCTTTCCTATTTTTGAACCACTTCAGGCTGATGTCTCTGGGGGAGAAGCCATGGGACTGGCAGGTGAAGGTCACCATCTGCCCAGGGGTGGCCCTCTCTGTGGGTCCCGATACCACAGGGCGAGAAGGTTTGGCTGCGAAGGAGCATTTGTAACAATAAGCGTGACTGTGACTCCCACCAAGGATAAGCGGGTGACACTGTTTATAACTTCACCTGATTATTGTTTCGTCTCTAGTAGTGCTGGGGTGTCATCACCCTCATTTAGGGACACTCAGGCTCCCAGAGGTGAACCAGGATCGGGGCAGGGTGACAGGGTTGCAGGCCGGGTTCAGAGTTCCCCTTCTTTCTCTCCAGGGGATTTCCAGAGTCTGGGCTCAGGAACAACATGACCTCAGTGTCTATTGCTGTTCCGGGCCCGTCACCCCGGAAGCCCTTCCAAGGTCAGAGAAGCTTCACAGAAGGAATGCAGGACATGGGGGCACCATGGAGGCTGGCACCTACCTGCCAGCCCTGGAGAGGGTCCAGGCACCTCCCTTCCTCATCTGTGAAATGGGGGGCAGGCTCTCTCTCTGGGGTGCATGAGGAAAGCAGGCCGCTGAGGCAAGTTTCAGAAGATAAACTCGGATAAGTATTAAGCACTAGTCTGGTCTCCCAGCTCTCCCCATGGGTGGGGGGATTTACTCCAAACTTTCCATTCTTTAAACCATTTCTCCAGTAGGTCTCATCTGTGCCCAGCTCTGATTTTGAAGGGAGGGGTCAGAGGGCTGTGAATTGAGGTTCTCCTTCTACTCGGGGTCAGTTTTGGGTTGGAAACAAGGATCATGAGCCTGAGGGAGCCAAGGTGGGCGTCTCTCCATGGTCAGGGCTAGAAAGAGGCAGAAGCGCCTCCCTCATACTGGGGAGGTGCAGAGCCCAAGTCTCCCCACCCAGGACGGACCTCATGAGTGACCCCTTGTGTCTCTGTTCTGCATCCTTGAGCCTCCGTGTGTGTTTCTGTGCAAAGTGGTCAAAGCCCCACTGGGCAGAGAAGTGAGGATGTGCCCAGCATGGGCAGGTTCACAGCAGGTGCTGACAACCAGCTCCTGTGGCTGCTGTCCCAGTCCTGGTCACCACCCATCTTGGGGTGGGGGGGTAGCAGCAGGGCAAACACCCAGGAAAGTGGCAAGTCCTGCCGCTGCTCTGAAGACCTGATTAAGAAAAGCAACAGAGGGCCTCCCCGGTGGCGCAGCGGTTGGGCGCTGGGTTGCGAAGCTGCCCGCAGCCTCTGCAGCACCGGTTCGAACCCCGGCTGCTCCCCGGCCACCGGAGGAGGGTCCCACATGGCGCGCAGACCTCTCCTGCCGCCCGCTGCTCCCCTCAGCAGTGTCCTTCGGTCCTTCTGCCTGCTCTGCTCCCCGCTCTGGCTCTGGTGAATCCTCTCACCCTCCCGCGCTTCTGACTGTACCCAGTGCTTGTATAAATAAATAAATAAATCTTTAAAAAAAAAAAAAGAAAAAAAAAAAAAAAAGAAAAGCAACAGAAATGCCTGCTGGTGATTCTCTGCTTCTTCTTGTCACAGGCCCGCTAGAGAGCTGTTTGGGGGAATGACACCAACACACAAATGAGATCCAAGGTATTGTCATGAAGATTTCTCTTTCCGGAAAGCTGCAGCACTTTAAAAGGAAGGACAGATTTTCTTAGGGATAACTTTGGGGTCAGAGAGCAGGGATCTGGGGATGCCAGCCCCTATTGGCAGCCAACTCAGCTCCAGTTTAAATGCCATTCAGAAACAGCACACCCCGGAAAGTTTTTCACATGGATACTGCAGCCCAGGAGATACTTGAAAGGGGGGGAAAATGCAAATTTCTTCATTCACCTGACAGTGGAACCAGAAAGTCAGGTTCCAGACCTCACCCCATTTCTGAGCCATGTGACCTTGAGCCTCAACTTTCCTGGTCTGTAGAAGGGGGTGAATCAAGCCATGTAGATCAGCACCCACATCCACACCTGACTCTTAGCTGTTGCTCACAGAAAGGAGGGCGTGACAGTGACCTGCTGCCACACGCGGGCCCCACGGTACTCACCACTCACGGTGACCTGCGTGCCTGGTCCCGACTTCAGTTCTGTGTCAGGGCTCCCTCTCTGGAACTTCACACAGTAGTAGGCCCCAGTGTCTGCTGTGGTCATGCTACTGATGCGGATGGAAAAGTCCTTGTTGTCTCTGATTGTGGCATCTGAGACAATGATTACTCGGGGGAAGGGGCCTTCGTCTTTTGCTCCTTTGAAACTATACACTAACTGCCGGCCTGGACCCGACCCCCTGAACCACTTAACATGCCCCACAGGGAGCAGGGAGGTCAGGGAGCAGCGCAGAGTGGCCGTCTCTCCGGCTGCCACCGACACGGACTTGTCAGGCTGGATCACCTGCAGCTCCTCCTCGCCGGCTGCTCCTGCTGGAAAGCAAAGCAGTTCCTTGTTCATCCTGCGTGACTCTGAAGGCTTTCTCAGCACTATTACAAGGACCCGCTGACAGTGCTCACCTCAGGGGCCCCCTGTGTTCAGCACGTGGTGGTATCATCACCTGGAACCCCCACAATGAGTCTGTAATGTGAGGCTGTTCCAAATGAAGTGGCAGATTTAGTGCCTGAGGCCTCTCTGGAAGGGTCATGATTCACCAAACACTTGCTGGACACTTTGTGGTGTCAGGACATATTGCATTTTCAGTTCTTTAACGTGATGGACCAGGCGAGTCTTGAGACCATTGGTTTGTGAGTGGCAGTGATGGGTGTGTTGGGAGGATGTCCTTGAACGGCAAGAAATTCTGTGCGTGAAGCAACCTCTTCCCGAGATCACATGCTCATGGAAGGGGCTGTTCCCTGGCCTGGGTGCTTGAATGACCAGGAGGTACTGAGCTCCCTACACACAATGAACGAGGTATTTAAAAAGAAGGAAAACATAGTCTTAAGCCTGGAATTTTTTTTTCCAATGCCATGATCATGTGTATTAGTGTCTATTACTTCTATCATTTTTCCCCAAAACTCAATGGCTTAAAATAATGAATTTCCATTAAGAGATGAGGCATAAACAGAGTAATGTCCTTTTATATAGATAAACCTTGACAATATTTTGCTAAAAAAAATAAGTCAGGAAGAAAAAGACTGATATATATTTCTAATTATAGGAAAGTTAGAATAGGTGATTTCGTACAGAGAAGTAGTAGGATGGAGGCTATCTGGGGTTCTGGGATAGAATGATAGGTAATTTATTGTTGGATGTGTACAGTTTTCTCCTAGGATGTTGAAAAGATTGTGAACTGCATTTTGTTAACAGATTCAAAAATTGTGAATGTACTTGATGCTGCTGAATTATAAATTAAAAAGTGGTTCAATGGTATGTTTTATGTGTGTTTTGCCACAATAAAAACTATGTGGTCAAGCAAAATGACTACCCTGATTCATGCCTTTGAGCTGGGCTAAGTGGCTCAAGGCTGGGGACTTGAGAACCCTGTTCTAGAAGGTGGAGATGGAACAAGCAGGCAAGACAGCAAGGAGGGAGCCAACTTCAGGCTGTGTTTGAAAAGAACCCTTGGGAGGGGGGTGTTCATGTGGTGACCCTGGGTCGTGAGCTGCAGGGACAGGAATGGCCCGTTGTCATCGACCTGCAGGTGCAGGACTTTGCAGTTCACTTCACTGCAGCTGCACTGGCCAGTTTCTGGAGACACCAGAGACATGAGAGAAGATTCCTTTGTGTTGAAACTGTCCTAAAACAGGCCTGGGCTCAAGTGACAGGGCCAGGACTATAAATCTGAGGAGCAGATTGTTCTTGGACTCATACAATCCTCTGACTTTTTTTTATTTAAGTGAAAATTTCAGTTCGCTTTTGCAGAGTGTGAGCTGGGAAGGCCCACCCACCTTGTACCCTTTGTCACAAACATGCCACCTAAGGAGGGACATACTCTTGGGGGGGGTCCTTTGGTGTGTCTGGAAAATGGAGGGGGAGGTTAATTTTAAGGAGGATTTTGGGGCTGTGGGGTAGACAAAAATGAGAAGTAATAGGAATGAATCTGGAGGGAAAAATGGAGAAATAGAAGTGGAGGAAAAGAAGGTCAGACAGTAGCCGGAGCCACAGGCGGGGAAATGTCATTAGAGTCTCTGTGGCTCCTGTGTTTACATCTCTGCCCACACCTTTCCCCTGAAATTGGACTTGTATGGCCAAAGCCCCTTGGACATGATGCTTGGATGGAAAAGCACAGCTCACAGTTGACAGGTCTCTCTATGTCTCCTGAGGCCCCTTATTCTTCCAGAGGCTCAGGTCCACACCTTTGGCTCTTTCTCTCCCATGCAAAGGCTGCGGGTCAGAGAATCTGTTGCTGCTTCATCATGTGTCTAAGGTCTGACCTCGCCCATCTCTACAGCAGCTGTCCTTGTGCACTGGTGTTCCTCGTTTCTCCATGAAATGACCCCTTAAATGTTCTAGTTGCTTCTCTGTCCAAGTGCTAGCATGATTAAAGTAATGTCAGATCATCACTTCTTTCTTTGTCTTTGCAGTGGCACCACTCACGGGAGCCCACGTCCTTGAACAGAACAGAAAAGTCTCCTCGCAGGGCCTCTGCCCGTGCTGCTCCCTGTCAGGAAGGCAATTCCCCCCAAACTCCACCGGCTCATCCCACAGCTCCTTTTAACCTTTGCTCAAGTTTCTCTCTCAGAGATGCCCACCCACACTGCCTTGTTTAAAATATAGCCTGCTGCAGGTATTTGCAGTTCTCTTATCTAGGAATACTTTCATTTGTTGCCCATAACCCTGATCCTCCCCTAATACACTGTATTTTGTACTTATTTAGTGTGTCTATTGTCTGCTGTCATTTCTCCCACTGAGACATAACTCCAAGAGGGCAACTACTTTGTCTCTTCAGCAACACTCCTCTCATTCTTGTAACAGCTTCTGACACATAGTAGGTGTTCAATAAATGGTTGATCATGTGACTGTCCAGTGCTACACCTTCCTGAGACCCGAGGTCTATTTTGAGCAGTAATACCCAGAGTTTCCCATGGAGATATTTGGCCAAAGATAAAAACAAATTCCAGGAAGAGGAAGAACCCAGGAGAGAAAGTCACAAACCCTCTTTCCCTCACTCTCCCTTCCCCTTCCCGTGCACAGAAGCTGCAGAAAGCTCCTGAGGTCGAGATGCGTCACCCGCATCCAAGAAGGGTGGTGGTTAACCCAGCAACTCTACAGTCAGACTGTGTGAGTTCTGATCGCAGCTCTACCAGTTAGGGTGAGTGACCTTGAACCTCTCTGTGCTTCTGTTATTCCACCTGTAAGGAGGGGGATAAGTTAGCCCCTCAGAGATAATGGTCACAGGAGATGACACCTCCAGGCCTTTCCCACTGTGTCTGGTACATGGTGAGGGTCAAGAAATTGAAATGATTTTACTCATCGGATTTCCTGAGGCTGAGAGGCTTCTGGGGACATAGATGACAGAGATAGGAGTGCAGCTAGAATCACACACGGGGATCATTGCTCTGTATCCTTCAGGAACCTGCACCTCCCCCTTCTTGTCTCCTCAGCCCATCCAGCCTGGAGGAGGCCTCCAAGGAGGAACGCACAGAATTCCACTCCCAGATTTCCTGAGGCCTGAACGGACGCTGGATGACAGCGCATGGGGAGAGGTGCAAACCCAGATGTGGGCGCAAGGACAGATGGAGACGGTCTAGGTGAGGCTCTGTGTTTCCATCCCCTTCTTTCCTCCTCACCCCCTTGCAGCACGAGGGCAGGACTCCAAGAAAATCATGCACACACTTTACTCTCTTACCAAGGGAGAAGAATTTTTTGTCCAATAGTTTAAGAAAGGGAAGGGGAAATTTTAGAGAAGTAGAACAGGAAGGAAGAGAGTGGAGAGACTCTGAAAACTAAACATTCGTCAATGTGCACTTCATGCACTGTGAATTGATTGGAGAGAACATGGAAGAAACCTTTTCAAAATTCCACTAGTGTGGGTGTCTGCACACTTCTCACACCTGTACATACATGCACATCCACCACAATATGCATTTGCAAAAACATGTGAAGTGCTGTCCTGGCTTGCTAGTATACAAGGAGTATGTTTTGAGGATTGTGTATGTTAAATGCTCATTAAAAATATTGGTACATGGGCCTCCCTTAGTGGCGCAGGCTGTTGAGTGCCGCGCTGTGAAGCTGTCCGCAGCCTCTGCAGTGCCGGTACGTTCCCGGCCAGCTGGCGAGGGTCCCACATGGTGTGGCAGACCTCTCCTGTCTTCCCGCTGCTCCCCTCAGCAGTGTATTTCATCATTCTGCCTGCTCTGCTCCCCGCTCTGTCTCTGGTGAATCCTCTCACCCTCCCGTGCCTCTGACCTGTACCCTGGTTCTTGTATAAAATAAATAAATAAATCTTTTTTAAAAAATGATCTAACACATCATTAACAAAAGTTTGGGAGCACACACAGCAGAATTTCAAACATGTCCTACCTCCTGTTTGTCTGTCCTAGGTCTCTGTCCTATCTCTAGCATCTTTTTGTTTCTCCATATGTCTAACTTTTCTCCAAGAGCCTCCACTGAGTAGCCAACAGCATAACGTGGTAGAAAGAATGAATGCTGGAGTTCTTGGCCCTAGGCTTCAATTCTGGCTTCTCCACAGACTTGGGTAGATGGCACTGGGCAAGTTATAGTCTCTGCCTCGGTTTCCCCTTCTGCAAAGCAGGGGCAACAATCGTCATTATAAACAGTCATGTTGTGAAGATCAGCCAAGTTAATTCACTCATCAAACTATCATCTGCTTTGATGTCCCTGATAACAGTTGCAGGTGACAGATTACAGAAAATTTGCTCAGTTCCCTGATTCTGTGCTCTCAAGTAATGTCTAGTCCTTGGCTCTCTGTGGTAGCCCCAGTGGGCTTACATTTGTTTACCTGAATGCCCTACAACTCCTTGGCTAAAGAGGCATCGGGGCAGGGAGAGGGGATCTTCCCATGGCCATGCTTACCTGTGAGTCCCAGCAGTAAAGCCAGCAGCAGACAAGGAGACTGGTGGGTCCAGGAGGCAGGGGCAGGCATCCTGGAACTGGAGGCGCCTGCTCTGTCCGGGTGTGTGCTGGGTGCCCAGACTCTGCTCTGTGGAGAGGAGACCTGCCTGCGATGCAAGAGGAAGCTCACATCAGTGGGGAAATGACGAGGTGTTGACACACTTCCACTGTCATGTTGAGATAAGAGGGCAGTTTCAAGGTCAGGAGTTCCTCATATGTTTTCATAGAAATAGTGCCTCACTGCCGGCCCTGTTCTCTCTCCACTTCCTTGCTACCCCCTCTTGGGGTCACGGTGATTCTCCATTCAGTAGACCTAGGCAAAAAGAATCCCATAGGGGTAAAGGGTGTGTCCCACATGCCCATGTCCAGGCCTCTAGGGTGACTGGCTGGTAGCCAGTCTCTGTCGCCTTCACCA